TAGAATGGAACAGATTGAAGGTGAGGGAGGCGGGGGCGGCCCGAGCCGTTCGTCCGGGTTTTTAAAGGGTCCGCGGCCGCCATGTTTGCTGCTGCCGGCGCTGCGGCGCGGCCCCGGGGCGGGAGGGGACGGGAGGCGGTGGGCGGCGGACGCGGGGCCCGGCTGCACCGCGCGCTGCCGCCCCCGAGTGGCCCCAGGTTCGAGGCTGCGGTCGGGCCTTAACCGGAGATCCGGGCCCTGCGCTGCTCTCCGGTCCGGCCGTGCTTCCCGGGAGCTGTCCGGGCGGCCTGAAGCTCTTAGGTATATTTTCAGCGATAACTTCGTTCTGTGTGTGCTGAACCAGAGGCAGCGCGCGATCGCAGCTGTAGGAAGAGGTTGTAGTTTGTCCTGTTGCCCGTTGCCGTTTTCCCGTGGCTGGTAGGGATGCATGGAGAATGTTGTAGTTGTTTGATATGTTGGTGTTTTTAAAGAGCTACTCGAAAGGAGGTCGCTCCAGCAAGCAGGCGTGTGCTGTGTGAGCTCAGGAACAGGGTGCTGATCAAGGAGTGCATCTTTTGGTTCAGTACAACTGTTGTGTGTTTCTCAGTTCTGCAGCTTTGAAGCGGTACACATGAGATGCATTACAGCTATTGTGTTGGCTTTGTTGTGTGACACGTCACTGTTCTTACAATATTTGGAGTTGACAAGGGTCTGACTTTGGTTTTATGTGAACAACAGCTTTTGAGCCTCCTCAAAGAACAAAAGAGTTTCCTCCATGTTCTCATTTCAACCCCGAGGCTCCCAAAACCAAATGACTGCACTAAACTCAGCTTACTGCTTTTTTGTTTCACTACATAGGATTTTTACTGCTGCCCTCCGAGTAGCTTCTTTCCATTTCCTCATGGGAAGCTTGTTAAGAGCTGCTTTATCAAAACCATATGACAGAGATGACTGTTTCTTCTGGCACTTAGAGCCCTTAGAAAGGTACGCAGGGAAGTGATCAGCCTTACCACACGCTTTAAAACGCTGAGGCAAGTTTGTCAAGAGGCCTCTGATTCACCATCTAGTCTCTGCTGGTGCAGGCCTACTGAAGGCAGGAGGAATCCCCAGGCTGCAGTTCTCTTTGCTAATGAATCTGCATGCAGCTGAAAGCTGGGCCTTGTCCTAATGGATGGAAGTAAAAGTTTACGCCTGTGGTTTTTGGGGTGTTCAGAACAAAGTGGGACGAAGCAAACTACAGTCACAGGATGCAGAAATGTGAATAGTCATTTTACTTCTGCCTATAATTCGTATCATTTGAACACTGCAGGAGAGTATTTTGAAAGGAGGTGTGGAAATGTGACAGAATTCATCTTTCGTCGCTCAAACCCAACGACCTGGTCTGTTTCAGCCCAGCAGCTGTGTTTGTAAACATAGCAGTGAGCATGTGCTGGGGTGGCTGCTGCGTGGAGCTTTGAGAGGAGCAGTGCCAGCACAGCGCAGATGCAGGCACGCACTGGAATGGAACAGTGCAGAAAATGAGAGTGAATGCGTCTGGTGACTCAGGTAATTAAGGGGCTGTAGGACACGAGCAGATCTGAGAATCTCTCTGATTATATCTGTGCAGAGAGGAGCTGGATTGTTGCAGGCTTGGTTGTGCAGACAGCCTGGAACTTCTGCTTTCAAGGCTGTGACAGAAAGCCCAGCTCAGGCTGACGAGGCAGTGGCACGTAGGGCTGACTCAAAGTGCTGCTTGTGGTTGTTGGTGAGCCAGCAGCACAGCTTCTGTTCTCAGAGCAGACACTCCACATCTCTGTGTAGTGCCCAGTCTTTAATGCCTCATATTCAGCAACTCCTGAACCAGTTGTAGGCAGGGTTACCCACACGGTGCTTGTCAGCAGAGAGTGGTAACCTTAATTCAAAAAGGATTTATGGAAACTGGTGAAAGTATTTGCATGCCATGCTGTTTTTCTAATCAGTACGTGCAGCCCCAACTTATTGCTGTGGTGACAGCCAGCCTTGGGTCAGCAGGGCTCATTAGCAGGTGCTTGGTTTGCTCTCCTTGGTTTGGTGGCACAGGGAAACGTCCCCGTGTCCAACTTGTGGCTTCACTGTGGTTGGTGAAACCCCTTCCTTTGGAGGTGGTCCTTGGGGCTGCTTTGGTTGCTGATAGGTAGCAGTGGGACTTTCTGATGCTTGGGAGTTTCCTTTGTGTGCTGCATACTGGCAGTATCTTTTCTCACTTGTTTTCATGCTCTTTCTGATTGAGCAATAACACAGTGGGTAGATGCACGTCTGTGTGTTTTGTAGATAAGTCCACGAGTTGCAGTGTTCCATACAAACCTGCAGAACTCTTTTTGGAAGGATGAAAAACTTCCTTGAGTAATAAATAAATGTGATGAGCAGCATTCAGATCGGTTTGGTCACGTGAGATGGCAGCATCTGAGGACTTTGTAGTACCTTGTTTTCTGAGCAAACGCAAAATGCTCATCACAAAAACAGCTTTAGCTTGCTGTGCTTGTTGGTGGAACACTGAGCTCAGAGGGACTCCCAGTGTCAGCCTGTGACTGCAGGGCTGCTGCTGGGATGTGTGCAGCAGAGCTTTCTGAGCAGCTCTCAGTGGATGGGCAGCGAAACACAGGGTGTTGGTGTAAGGAAGTGTATTGCAGGAGCTGTGCTGGGCTGACTCGCTTCACCCTGCAGTGAAACCTTTGTTTTGTGTACTTTATTCCTCAGATTCTTTGCATTCTGACTCTCCTGCAGGCAACATAAAAGCACTTACACCAGCAGTGCCTGTGTGCAGTCTGCATTGGTGAACAGTCCGCAGTTCCCTTATCAGTGACAGGTCCTGTTTTCCTTCTTGATGGGAAAGGACACGTGGGGGGTGCTGGCTGCGTGGTTCTGGGGAGCAAGGTCTTGCTCTCTCAACAGTAAATTAAGTTGCAGTGTTGAAGGTATCTTTGTTTCCAAATTCTTTTCCAATACTACTAAGAAGTATCCACTTCATGCTTGAATTGCTTGAAATAATTATGTTGTATCCTTATCTTTTGGCCCAGTTCCTGCGTTGTGTCAGGCAATATCTATTGCAGGTTGTATTTACAAGCTAAATGCTTACGTGGGGCATCTGATCATGTAATAGTTGAGAAAAATGTACACTGCCTGAAATGCTTTGCTGGGAGCTCAACGCACAGAAGTGCAAATTGGCTTCTCTTGTGTTGGGAAGTGCTCAGGAGAGCCATACCCAGCCTGTTGGTGGTATTCTGTGGACAGTGGTACGTTCTTTGCATTGCAGCATTTGAGTGACTTCTGCTCAGTAATCCTTTCTGAGGTTTAAATTGTGATTCTGACGTGTTCAGGTTTCCTTGTGTTGTTATCAGTGGCTGCAGGTTTGCTCTGGCAGTCAGTGGGCAGCTCGGAACTGAGCAGGTTGATACAGAGATGTGGAGAGGGTGGGAAAAGCTGGGTGTGTTGTGGTGGTGACAGAAGGGACTGGGGAGGAGGAAGCTCTTGGTGTTGTAAGCTCTGCAGGAGGAGAAGAACTGTTTGAGTTTCAGGCTTGAGAGGAGCAGCTTTGCTTCTGCAGCCTGCACAGAACGAAGCAGGTGTAGAAGTTGTCCCTATTGAGAAACATAGACTGAAATCACGGTCTGTTTTTATGCAGGTGAGCTCCAGAAAAGCAGTGCTTAAAGAAAAAGAAGTTGATATGTGTGTATTTACTGACTCCTCCTAAATCCAATTTAAGTGGTGTTTTGAAGTTTGCTAAGCCACAAGTTTTTTTTATGTAACAAGATAAAGTGCACTGATAGCCTCCCCTGCACACACCCCCTCCAATTTGTGCCTATGGAGGCTGGTGACAGCTCTGGGACCTGTTCCAGCCCTAAATGTCCTGTGAAGGATGATACAGGGAGCTCCTCCCTGCACCATGGGCAGACTTTGACCTGCAGGGCTCTGTGTGCAGGAGATAAGGGCCGGGCACTGCCGTGCAGGTTTTGGATTCTGTCAGCATTGCATCTGGGTCTGATTCCCACCACTTGGGTGAGATGGCTTTAACAAAATGTTAGCAGGGAGCTTCTGCTTCTGGATGCAAACTGTACCTTATGTCAGCCCTTCTGAGCAAAGCAAGCTGTCCTGGCAGCAGCATTCCTTGGCTGTGTGTGGGTAAGGGCTCCTGCTGGCTGTGTTGATCAGGTATTGCATCACTGCCCAGCTCTGGTGTGGTCGTGGCTGAAATGCTGCACAGCATGGCTTGGTTTGTAGCCCAGCATTTAAAGAGTGGAAGGTCTTACAAGAAAAGGCAGAGCTGCCAGTGTCATGGGAACAGTCTTATTTAATAGAGGGGTAGGGCAGTGATGCTGATTTAAGGACAAGAAGGCTGGTGAGGTTTTCTGGTTCTGACAGTGTTGGCCAGGTGAGGATTAGTGGTGCAGGGAGGTCCTTCTTTGTTTTTCCCTCTTTGCTCCATGGCATGTTTGCTGCTTAGTGGAGCTGTGCTGTGTGCTGGGACGAGCAGCATTCTTTGGCATCAGACATTGCAAGGACAAAGGACTTGCACCAGGGAAAATGCCCTCTAAAGGCAGTGGGATTCTTTCTCAAGGAAGAGATGCAGAGTGTTACTCCTATTTTATACTATGTATCATCCAGCAGAACCCAAAACATCTCAAGTTTCCATTCCTAGTCTGACTGAGGAGCAGCAAAACATAAAGCATAATTATGCTGACATAAACCACGGTGTGTTTTTAGTGAAGCACAGCATACTGAATGGTGTCCTGTTTGATATTCTGGTTCTTAGTTCTAAACTCGATGGGTGATTGGACTTTTGGAGTGCTTGGATGGCAGACAGTGAATTAGTTGTTCTTTAAAATGAAAACAAAACTTGAGAATTGGTTGATTCTAAACTTTCTTAAACCATTTGTGCTTTGTCTCTGTTCATCCAGCAGTGGATGTGCCTGATGACTCAGGCAGCTCAGTCGCAGGTTTGTAAGATGGGTTTTTTGAGGTATTTAAAAAGAAAGCAATTGATTTTTAGTAACGAAAAAAGCCTAGGGTGAAATTTCTTCCTAGTGGGAGAAATCTGTTGTTTGCTTTTCGGTTTGGCAGATGTAAAGGAGCAATTAATTTGCAGATAGTACAAACAGTTCCACTTCCTCTTCCTAGAATGGGTGGTGGTGGTTTGAGGCTGGCTGACCCCGGTAGGCAGTGCTGCTCACCACGTGTGTCCCTCCCATCAGCAGCAGCACTTCTCCTTGGCTTTTGTGGCTGATATGCAGAGAGCAGCTGGGGGAAAAGATGGTTTTACTGCCACGAGATTGAAAAGTTGCTGCAGTGAGCAAATTTTGCTGTGTAGTGTTGTGCTGTTGGGTTGTTTCCCTAAATCATGTAACTGTGGGGACAGGTGTGCCTGTGGTTGGTGGCACTGGGCAGCAAGGATGAACACAAATGTGAGTATCATTCAAGGACAAAGCTGACAAAGCATGTGACAAAATTCTGATCAAATCCTTTTGCTGTTGCAACTTCAGGGTATTGAGATGCATTGGGAAGGTAAGAATTTAATGTGGGGGGTGGGGGAGTATGTGCAAATTGTAATGGTGAGAGGTGGGTTGTGTTAGTGTCATTTCAAACCCTGACAAGAAGGACACAGTAACCCTCCTTTGTGCCTGCACAGGGGTAGGATAAAGAACACAGAGCTGTATTTACTTTGGAAGGGCTAAACTGACCTTGCAAATTTGTATTTCTGAGCTGTAGGTTGACTCACTGTACTGTGACTGTGAGATTATTAAAACACTTTGAGCCAGTAGCTGAGCTTTCAGAATCAAACCTTTATAGTGTTAGAACCCCACGTGTTTGATGTTAGGAAAACAACCATCCCCAAGCAAGCTCTTCTCTGCCTTTCTGTTGAGAGAAGGGGTGGGGAGGGCCGTCCTGAGGCTGTCACATCATCTGAAGTGGTTCTTCCAGCTGCCCCAGCACAGGGAGAATCCATGGCTCTGGTCCCCAGCTGCCTGACAGGCTGCCTGTGGCCCCACACTGGCAGCATGGAGGGGGAGGAAGTTGTTTCTCTGTTGTTTGGGGGATCCTTGTGGATGGAAGCACATCAGAGCAGTGCTTCCTGGTGCCGTTCTAGGGATGCTGAAGGGATGGTCTGAATTTTAGCACTGACTTTGGGCTCAGAATCTTCTAAGTGTTTGTAGGTGCTTCTCTTGGTTCCTGAAACATACTGGGGGGGGGAAAGGAATTGGATGTGTCGAATAAAAAGGTGCTCTGCAGCAATGAGTGAATAGTTTTTAATTTTTTTTTCACATTCTGTAATACCAGTCTTCTTTAAATGCATGGAGAGGAGGGAGTTGGTCATTACATTTGCTCTCTGTCGACGTTTTAATTTGCTCAGTTATTTTTCTTTTTACACTGACTGAACTCCTTTTCCCCCTGACTCCAGGCCCTATGAGAAAAAGGGAAAGCTAAGGATGCTGGAGCAGAACAATGGATTTCTCTTTCTCTTTCATGCAAGGGATCATGGGAAACACAATTCAGCAACCACCTCAGCTCATTGACTCAGCCAACATCCGCCAGGAGGATGCCTTTGATGCCAGCAGTGACATTGCTGAAGATGGTGGACAGACGCCGTACGAAGCCGCCCTACAGCAAGGCTTTCAGTACCCAACACCCACGGCGGAGGATCTGCCCCCCATTGCTAATGGCTACCCGGCCACCATCAATATGTACGAACCTCAAGCCAAATTCCAGACGTACAGTCAATATCCCAATGGTTCTGCCAATGGTTTTGGTACAGTTAGAAACTTTAGTCCCCCGGAGTATTACCACGTGGAAAACTCGAACGCGAGGCCGCATGAAGTTCTGGAAAAGCCTTCCCCTCCACAGCCACCCCCACCTTCAGTTTCACAGACGGTGATTCCAAAGAAGACTGGCTCACCAGAAATCAAACTAAAAATAACCAAAACTATCCAGAACGGCAGGGAATTGTTTGAGTCCTCTCTTTGTGGGGACCTTTTAAATGAAGTACAAGCGAGTGAGTATGCTAAGGCAAAACATGAAGGGAGGAAAGAGAAAAGGAAAAAAAGTAGCAAGCACGACTCTTCCCGATCGGAAGAGCGCAAGTCGCACAAAATCCCAAAATTAGAACCAGAGGAACAAAATGTAAGTGTGATAATAGCTTCAGCCATCTGTATGCCTGGTATTGTTGGTGGAGTATGCTTCTTCAGCAGTGTTTTTTTCCTCTCTTCTGGGTGTATATGGGATTAGACATAAGTTGGATGATTTTCGTGGTGTGTTTTTCACATGATGTTGGTAACGCAGTCTCTGCAAATAACCAACATGCAGTGGGATTTGTCACATTTCTGTGGGTATCCTTCAGCAGTCCTTCCCTGCTTCTCTGAGGCTGCACATGAATTAAGGTGGAATTGGGTTTACTATCTGAACGTTTCTCTATTGCTTGTTACAGCAGAACCTTGTTCTTTGCTGGGGTTGGGAGGGTATTTTCTGGATTGCAATGCTACTTTGAAGTTGGAATAAGGAATCACCACACTTGTTTTTTGGGCTCGTGGTTGCTTTTCTCCTTGCTATGTATTTTTTCAGTTTGTTTTCATTAATGTGCTTGTTCTGGTTTTACTTTCCCCTTATGCTGTTTGTGTTTGTTTTCCTTTTTTCCTTTTCATTGTTTCCCATTTCCTAGAGGCCAAACGAGAGGCTTAGCATGCTGTCTGAAAGGCCAAGAGAAGATGCAGTGTTGGAGGAAGCCCCGGTTAGTACATGTAGTCGTTAACACTTTCTGCTTTGTCACTGCTTTTCTACCAATTATGTCATGGGTTCTTTAGTTTGTCAGATAAATGAGCCACCATTTCCTTGAAATGCTTCTTTCTTTTGTGTCAGAGTCTCTCTTTTGCCATATTTATTGTCTTATTTTCTCCTAAAAGCAGCATTCTTAATCAACTTACGGAGGAGACATTTATTTTTGATTTTTGTTGTGGTTTTAGGATCATTGGTGTGGTTTTTTTCCCCACTGCTGTGTGTCTTGTTTGATCAGTGACTGTTGTGTGTAAATCCGAGCTGTTAAGCTTGTCTTGTTCTCTCTAGGTGCAGCAGTTCTTGCCTTCTCTTCCAACACAAGTCAGCCATGACATCAAGTTTCAGGTTGGCGATCTGGTTTGGTCCAAAGTGGGAACGTACCCATGGTGGCCTTGCATGGTTTCATGTGATCCACAGCTTGATGTGCATACCAAAATCAATACAAGAGGTAAGGGAGGAAGGTCACTGCCAGAATACATCAGGTGTCTCTGGTTGTTTCTGCACTTAAAAAAGAATCTCATCTTTTCAATTTCCTCTGTGGGATGGAGTCTCTGGTGCGTGTGCTAAACAGGACTATTACTGTAATGATAAAAGTAGGGCTTTTAAAATTACCTCCACAAAATGAGCCTATGCAAACTAGGTGTGAGCACTTTCCTGAAGTCAGTGTGTTTATGAGAAGACATCTGGTAAGTCTGAGAACATCCAGTGTGGGCAGGGTGCATTTATCTTCCCATCCTGAACTACTCTGAGTCCGGGCCTGTCTTATTTCTGAACTTTCTAAACTAACCTTGGTATTTCCAACTGCAGCAATTGAGCGGTGTGGAGGAGGAAAGTGTAAACTAAACCAAAAGAGGCATTCATAAAACTGCTTACTAGAACTTTTCAATTTCAGGTGCCCGTGAATACCATGTTCAGTTTTTTAGCAACCAGCCAGAACGGGCGTGGGTGCACGAGAAGCGAGTTCGGGAGTACAAAGGACACAAACAATACGAGCAGTTATTGGCAGAGGCTGCTAAGCAAGCCAGCAACCATTCTGAGAAACAGAAGGTATGATGAACACTGGTTGTGGAGAGGGGTATCTGTGAAAGTGAAACTCGTGGGGGCAGTTCTGAAACAGTGGTGCTTTATTGTGTGAAGGCTTGGCTGCATTTTGCTGGCAAAAGCATTACTCGTGGAGATAACTGAAATGTTACCATGCTCCTCCTTTTCCACTGAGGAGCTTGATAGCTTAACTTTGTTCCTGGTGACAGCTGTCATCCTGGGCGAGGAGGTGACTTTGCATCTTAGTGAGAATATTAAATAAAGGTAGAATCTGTGTGTTCACTTTTAGCTGCTTTTCTGTGTAGACGCAGAACTTAAGCCAGTATTCATGCTAATCAAAATACTGCTGTGGAAGGAGAAGGATTTGTATGGAAAAATACGGAGGATGTAAAACGTAGATAAATTAGGTTTAATCTCATAGCAGCATCGTGGACTTTGAATGCTGTCTGCTCTTGTCTTTCCTGAGTTCACAGTTCAGGGCAGACGCTTTCAGTGCTGATGGTCATTCAGTCCAACCACTGTCTGCTCATATTCCGAGCACGGGGTTCGCTGTCTACCTTTCAAACTGTATCCTGTACATGGAAAGCAAACTTAGATCTGTTGCCTTAGAGATGTAAGGACCCTCAGGATGCTTCAGTGTAATTAGCAGCTTGTCTTTGTTCCTTAAGATTCGCAAACCAAGGCCGCAAAGAGAGCGTGCTCAGTGGGATATTGGTATTGCCCACGCTGAGAAAGCGTTGAAAATGACTCGGGAAGAAAGGATAGAACAATACACCTTCATTTATATAGACAAAGAGCCAGAGGAGGTTTTGTCAAAAGCCAAAAAGGCCGCTGCTTCTAAATCAGAGACCAAGAAGAACCGGCGTCCAAAGCCAGCATTGAACACCCAGCCAGAGCATGGCAGTGTGATAACAGGATCACCTTCCAGTGCAGAGCTGCGAAGGCAGAGCCAACGGAGGCAGTCGAGTGCGGAAGAGGAGGAGCCACCACCTGTGAAAATTGCATGGAAAACAGCTGCAGCTAGAAAATCCTTACCAGCCTCGATAACCATGCACAACTTGGATCTTCAGAAATGTAACATGTCTCCGGTTGTTAAAATTGAACAGGTTTTTGCTCTTCAGAATGCTGCAGGGGATGGCAAACTCATCGATCAGTTTGTTTATTCCACTAAGGTATGTACTTTGTGTAGTGACTCCTTTTCTCTTCAGTTATTCCAAGTTTATCTTGTTGTGGAGCTTAAACCAGCACCCGCCATACTTTCCCAGTGCACGTTTCTTTGGTTGGAGAGATTAAATCTAACATAAGGCAGGAAGCTCCAACAATCTTCTGTTGTATTCAACTTTTAATTTCAGTGCATCCCAAAGCCTCTGGCAGTGACTGTATTGACTGCTGGCCAAGAAGCTCCCTGCAGATGGTCACATACTTGCTGATGAGATGTTCAAAATACTGAAGCTGTTTAATTCTAGTGGAAATAACAGAGCAATTCTCTGAAAACCTTAAAAATGAGGTTATTTGGGGAAAACAGATGAAATTACAAGTGTTAATAAAGTATTGAAAAACTAATTATGCTGTTTTGCATAACAGACTTCTAAAATGAGTTCTGCCTCCTAGCTTCCTTCAGGTGCACAGCAGCTTCTCGCAGTCAGTGTAAGGAAAAGGTTTAGGACTATTTCTCTGCCTCCTTCTTCTGCCTCTCTACCTGGAGAGTATTTATTTCATCCTAAGCATTATAGAGAAGGTAATGTTTAGAAAAGTTGCTGGATTTTTTTTTTCCTTGTATGTAAGGGGAGATGGAGAGGGATGGAAAGTTTTGCAAAGAAGCAGTTCAATAGTATAGATCACTTATGTGTTGCATTGAAGGGATTCTGTTCTGACTGAAGATAGATTAATGTGCCTGGAAGCCATAATACACGGAAGTAGGCTGACAAAATCTTTTTGTGTCGTGTTGTTGGTTTGTTTTTTTTTCCTAAGGGAGTTGGTAACAAAGCAGAAATAAGCGTCAAAGGACAAGAGAAGCTTAATTCTTCATCCAGCCAGAGGAATGAAAAAGCAACGTGCAATGTGCAGAACGCATCCTCTCCTGAAACAACTTCTGGGTCAGCAGGTAGGCGAAGCGCAGGGGCTTTGAATTTTAACAGTCTGGCATTTAAATTCACACGTGAAAACTGGCATTTTCTTGTTAGATAAAAACGATTTTGAACGTCTTTCCATTTACGTTATAGCTCTCCCAAACATAATACACGAGGAGCCCAGATGTTTGAGGAACACAGGATGTCTTTCTGATGCACTTGAGCTGCTTAAGCCTCTGAACTTCCAGCACTTGCAGCTTGCAGTATCCAAGTCAAATTATTAGAAGGCCAGATGCCTTGTGGGGAGCAGATGGCAAGTTGTTTTAGAAGACAGGACAGCATAGTAGGCATGTGTTAGAGGATTGTAATGGCTTTTGGCACTGCCTGTAAAATATGACAGTGGAGATCAAAAGAAGACAATCTGGAGGTGACGTAATTCAGTAAGGAGTGGTTTTGAAATATGGGTGCTTTACCAAATTTTGTTGATGAATTTCATTATGACCTTTGTAGAGGACAGTGTTGTTTTTTTCCCCCTAACTGCTTCAGCTCACTCCATCAGCAGCATGATGCAATGCTTGGTTCTGAAGGTGTTTTAGGGGCCCCATCATAAAACCATGATATTTTTGAAGCACTCTCTGAGGAAAACCATTGGAGCAAATAATGGAACTTGAGACTGAAAAGGGAGAGCCTGGAACAAGCTATTTGAAGCCTAATTTGTAGCACAGTAATAGAGAAGAGCAAGAGGAAAACCGGGTTGAGTGCTTCCTAGATTTGGAACAGAAAACCAATGTGTTCTTTGTGTGTGTTTTGATTCTGAGGAATAGCTAATGGGAATTTGTCCAAACGGTTTTATCTTCTCCCCACCAGCAGGAATTTCATTCAGCAGTGTGTTCTCTCAGCATCATCAAAAGGAGACAAATATCCCTCTGGAGAGCAAATGGAAGTTCCTGAAAAGATGTAGTTCAGATCTTCCTAAACCAAGAGATTTTCAGGTTCCTCCAGTCCCTGTAGTGTCTTCTGTTTTTCATCTATTCTGTACAGTCCATTAGCTATTGCTTCTTTGCTGGTGTGCTGGTGGTAATAGCCTTGGTACAGCCTCAAGTGGTTTTACATTAGATGTGTAGAAGTAAATTTTAGGTTGCAGAAGAGCATGTTGAGTTGCTGTCGTAGCAGGATGAGCAAAACCAGAAAAACACCCTAAAAATAGTGATGGACTCATTATAGTTAAAACACACAAAAAGGAACCCAAGCACAAAACCTGCTGGGAAAATCTTGTGAAGTTACTTGCTGTCACTTCTGCTTTAGCTGTTTGTAGTTTCTCCCTTTCTGGACATAAATGAGACTCCAGGTCAAACACCTCAGTGGTCAGCATAGGTGGGAACAGTTTCCTGTGCATACTTACTGCAGTTTCTGTACTTCCTTAGCCTTTAGGTAAGCTCATTTAATAGATGCTGTGTTCTGGGCTGTGTAAGGCTTCACAGTGCAGGCTGAGCAGACCAGATGTTCTGGTGTAAGTGGGGTTTCCCAGTGCAAGAGGGGCTTCCTCTGCTGGTCTTGGCAGTGGTTCTTTTTTCCAATTTTAGTTGCTATGGTTGCTTCAGCTTTTTGAAACAGTTGTTTGATTACCTTATAGCTGGAGTTCTCTGGAGATAGGTGCTCTCTGTTTTGTTTTCCTTGGAACTAAAAGCTTCACCTTCACAATGGCTCTTCAGAGGCAGGGGTTGGTGAGAATTCTGAGCCTCTCATTTTTTCACTTCCATAGGTTTTTTGGAGATGTAAAACTCCACCTGGTAATGCCTGTTACAGTGTTAAAGTGGGTTTTCCTTCAGTACACACTGAAGTATAGGTCACTTTCAAAGTCCAGACACTTGTTGGTCCCCTCTCATGGAACATCACTGCAAAGTCCTTCTTTCAAATTTAAGGTCGCTGGAGTTTCAGGATGCCTTTATGTAAAATATTGGACAGAATGACTCTGGGAATCCTTAATAACAACCTGCAGATAGATATACAGAATTCTGTAGTGCTGGGAGAATAATTTAGTAACCTGCAAGCTGCTAATAAGAGAACTGTGAGAATTCATAATGCCTCTGGTTTCCACATACAGCTGGAACAGGATTGACCCAACCTTGTCAGGGTGAGGTGGAGTGCTGGTCTGAAACCTGTCCTGAAACTCTGGATCAAAGTACACACGCAGATGGGATGGGAGCATTGTGGAGGTGATGTGCTGCATCCCTGGGGAGCAGGGACAGGAAAAAAGTGCCTGTTACTTTGATTGATAGTGAGTTTAATATTGGCTGAAGGCAGTAACTTGAGAGTTTCTTCTCTGATACAGGGCTTGCATCTTAATTCTGTTTTCACGGTGAGGAAAGGCATGATGGATTGAATCAACTTTCTGGTCACAGTTGCCCAAACTGACTTTTAGTTGCTTCAAAGAATTTCAGCTGAACGCAGAGGTGACAAAAGATGACCTCTGGCTTCAGTGTTGAGATCTGGAATAGTTGTGTGCTTATCAGTGGACGTCTGTCATTGCAGCCAGAAGTTACACTGCTGCTTCTGTAGGTAAAACACCCAAACTGAAAACCAAGAATAATGCTTCATAAAAGCTGTGAGATGTCAAACTTCAGCTCTCTGTTAAACAGCTCCAAGAGTCAAAACAAAACCCAAACTGGTATCAGATGCTGTGTAGGTGTTTCACAATATGACCTTTTTGGAGATAGTGTAGCATAGAGGGATCTTCTGAATTCACCTACCTTCATACTTTCTCTTGAAATATCATAATCTCTGCCCTTAATCTGAGTTGCTTTTCTGTAGTAATAGTTCTAGAAAGCTCAGTTTTTTGCTTTCATTCATTGCAATAATGCATTGTGATCGCTGCTTCTGTGCTTTCTGTTGAGCATTTAGATTTCATTCCTATTGCACATGCAATAGAGAGGTTCTTGCACTACTGTTCTGTGGAGTCCTGGGTGAAGGCTCACAGCCCTGTAGGGCTCACAGCTGTCTGTGGGAATGAAAACTTGGAACCTGATTTTTGCCTCTTCGGTTTCTGGCTTGTTTTGGTTGAAGAAGCTGATTGTGGATGCCTGCCATAAATACCAAATATGGACTATTTGGTTAAAAATTAACCAGGGCGCAGACTGAGAGGTGTGTTTTGAAAATCCATTTGCTTGACCTGGATGCCAGCTTGTTATTTTTTTTAATTATTGTTATTCCAATGCTTCTTTCTGTCTATGGAATCAGAACATGCTACCTGCAGACCACAGCACCGGTTGGCAAATAGCTTGGCACTGAATTTAAAAATAAAACATTCAGAAGAGGACAAGGTCTTGGCTTCGTTAATTCAGCAGTTGATTTGGTGCTGGAGGTGTTGCTGCAGCACAGCAATCCAAGGAATAGTGTAACAGAAACCTTTTCTTCCTCCTTCAGGTTCTGTAGAAAAGAAGCAACAGAGAAGATCGATTCGAACCCGCTCAGAGTCTGAGAAATCCACCGAAGTTGTGCCAAAGAAGAAGATCAAAAAGGAGCAGGTTGGCTTCCTCCATGTAGAGAGTTAAAATATATTGTATTCATAAATGTTGTGGCTTATATTGGTGCCTTTTTATTTTTCTCCATTTTTTTCCCCATCGGGTTTCGTTTTGGACTATCCTTCATGAAATCCCCTTGTCAATACCATTGCTGTGACTCTGCTACTGGCATCTTCACAGTATCAGTCAGGCTATGGAAAATGGGAACTCAATGATGCAAGACTCCTAACGAACCTGCCATGTTTTCTTTGAGATTTCTGTTATGAGCAAAATGATTTTGTTTCAGTAATTTCTCTTTGATGGAATTACCACCAGGTTCCTTCCTTTTGCTCTTGATTTAGCTGCTGGTTTGTATTGAGGTTTTGTTTTTCAGACGAAGTTAGACTGATTAATCTGACCACTTTTGAAAATGGACTCTGGGAATGATTTAATAGTCAGACTTCTATGTTGGCAGACATCAGCAAAACAGTTCTTCTGGGATATACTTTTTTCCCCCCTTAACTAGATCTAACATGTACAGGGCATTCCTTTAATCTGGATGTGAGACAGACAAATGTTGTTGCTTTAAAACAAACAAGCAAAAATTCTGCGTGACAATGAATAGGAAAGTTCAGTGAATGGACATAATTTAATGTTTAAAAACTGAATACTTTTTAACAAGTTTGTCAAAGTTGTTGGTTCTTTTCCTTACGTGGTCGATTTTCACTCTCCGTTTTCCTCTTGAAACCAGAGAATTTTATGTGAAATGTTTCATAGGATAGTTTTCTCCAATGAGGATTTCTTAAAAGGGGTGATTGGGCTACAGATTTTATATGGGAAGGGGAACATTGGGGGTTTTTAGCTCTTTTTATTCTAATTTATTCTTTGCCCTTTACACTTTGTTTTGCACTTCATTCACCCAGAGGTTGAAGGCAGACCAGACCCAGTTGCTTTTTTTTCATGTTTTTCTTTTGATGCCACAGCATTTACATCTGTGCTCAGCAGAAGAGTGTTCTAACTCTGGAAAACTGCAGAAAGAAACTTGAAAGCAACAGAGATGTTGGGTGTGAGGCACCCAATGTTCCTTTCAGCCTCTTGTCTGGGGGTGTTGCAGCCTCCATGTTTTCAGATGTTATTTCACGTTGATAAGTGTTTCTTAATTTAACAAAGGTTTAAGAACCAACAATACGAATTTCATGGATCCCAGTTAGCTTTGCTTGTTTCTATTACCTAGCTAACTAAGACTATGAACATTAAAGTGCTTTTCTCAGGAAAAGTGTGTGACTAAAAATTAAACACAGATGCACTGTAATGCGCCTAACCTTGAATGTATTAAGTTATATTAAAAAAAAAAAGAATTACTTCTTACAATTATGCAACAATATTTGTTACCCAAAGTCAAGTTTTCTTGCAACTGATTCCCAAATTAGTCTGCAACAACTTGGTATAAAGTTATAACTGGAACGAGTACAATTAATGGGAAAAACAAAATGTTAATGCTACTGTTACAGTGACTAGTGGAGAAATAAAAGTGATTGTTTAGATTTTATATTTGTATTATGAAATGTATCCTATACAAATCCTTCTATTGTATGTTTTTACCTATTGTACAACAAAATAAAATATTTTTTAAAAAAATTATAGAATAATCCTTAAATATTTACTAAATGTGTTTCCACATGCATATGTAACCACATTGTAAAGAAGTAACTTGTAACCCTTAACCTTAAAACCAGGACGTAAGGCAACGACTTTCCTCTCTAATTATTATCCCCTCACCAAATTCTCGTGTTACATGTACATTGGCAGAGCAGATTCTACTGATAGAGCATCGAGAGCCTGAAGTACTTTTGCAAGACTGTAAACTTGTCTGCTTAGGTGTGTACTGGCATTGAGTTTCCAGCTGTATAGAGCTCTGCAATGCTCTGTGCCTTGTCCGTGCCCCCATCCCCGTGGCCTTGCAGCACTCTATACAGGGAAGGTCTGTGTTCCCAGGAGCCTGGAGTGCATGCTTGGTGGATGTGCCTTAAAAGGCGATACCTTAAGTGTCTCACTAACCTGAGTGTCATGCCTGTGAAGGTGAACTTGTGCTTACACAGGTGTGGGGTTGTACAAAGCAATCAGGGTTGGCTGCCACACTGAGCCCTGCTTCTGCCTGCTGGACACGGCTGCAGTTTTCTGTCGTCTTCATGCAGAAAGGGAGTGACTGGAAAGGACCTCGGTAGTGAACACATGGCTGCCTTGTCTTCTGGTACTCAGCGTAGGCAGCTAGGATTAAATCCAGCAGGACAAGAAGGCTCGCACTGAGGAGGGGATGGCAGACTGCACATGAGTTCAGAGATGCTAATCGCTTAAACTTTAATGTTTTCTTTTTAATACTAGGGGAAAAAATTCCTTTGTTTTTAACTGTGGATTTTCCTATTCAAACAGGTTGAAATGGTTCCACTGGCAGCAGTGAAGACAGGCCTGCAGAAAGGTGAGTCACACACTTAAACTGAAAATTCCTGGCTCTTCATCACCCTTTGGCAGTGCTTTTCATCCTGTGTGAGCTGCGGAGGTCTTGAAGCTTTCTAGTGATGAACGTGGCTTGGTTTGGTCGATTGGTTTGTTTGGCTTTGCATTGCTAGTTGGAAGGGTAGTTATGTTGTTCATGTGCTGTAAGCATTTAGTATGATTATGAGATGATGCTTCTGCTTAGCCCTATTTTAAAGATGAACGATGAAGAGATAATCTCATTAGGGCTTATCTTCTGTTACACACAACTTAGTAGCTTCCTCTGCTATGTCATCGTATTCAGAAGATTGTCACAGGACTTCCTAAAGTGATGTCCAGTTAATTAGGTTAACAGTTAAAAAGTTAATTAGGTCTTTACAGAGGATTAAACCAGTATCAAAGTTGCAAGCTGAGACTTAAAAAATAGCAAATAGAGTCCATTTTCAGGTTGTCTCATTTTCATTTTCCTTTACTGATTTTAAGGAAGAAAGAAAATGAAGGAGCATACATTAAGACTAATTTTAGCATGTTGTGTTAAGGTGCCAGCGAGATTTCAGATTCTTGTAAACCTTTAAAGAAGAGGAGTCGAGCCTCGACTGATGTAGAACTGACGAGCTCAGCTTACAGAGATGCTTCTGACTCTGATTCAAGAGGACTCAATGATTTACAGGTAAAGGCAAATTGTTTCTCACAGATGCAGTCTCTCTTCAGTTGCCTGTTGCTAAATATGAGTACTGTATTTCCTTCACGTTTTGCCTTTTATTGTCTGAGAAGTGAAGTACAAGCTTTTTAAAACTACCTTTTACTTCTAACCCTGCACATTACATCATCCGGCAGAACAAATTGGTCTCTGACTCATTTTGCTCTTTGAAAAGTTGTTGGATTCCCTGGGGGTTTTGGGACGCCAGTATGAAACAAAGAGGTTTCTGGCAAGAGTGAAATAGACCATTTTTTTTGCTTGTCCAGGTAAAAGATATGTCAAAAAGGCAGCATTTCTTGTGTCATTGCAGTGAAGTCCAACAACTTTTCAAAGATGTTTGAACCTCTTGATGTGCTGAATGATCTTTTAATCAGTGGTGATGTAAATATTGTTTTTCATGGTGTGATTTGTCCTTTGAAAGTGTCTTGTTTGAGTGCCTTGGACTTTCCCTCTTTGTAGGGTAGTTTTGGAAAGCGTTCCGACAGCCCATCAGCTGCTGTCGATGCTGATGCTTCTGATGTGCAGTCAGTGGACTCCAGCTTATCCAGGAGAGGAACTGGAACAAATAAAAAAGACACTGTTTGTCAGGTAAACGATGGCACTGCAAAAAGAACTGTAAAGGTGTTTTGGCTGTTCCTGTTAGTTTGAGGTGGTAGACTTAACAAATCATACTGGTTTGCTTTTATCTTAGAATATTAAGGCTTTTAGGACTCTGTGATCTGAAAATAGTTCCTAGGAGAGCTTGTGGATTAGGAATATTAAGGAGAAGCTCGTCTTTCTATTTAAGTATGAGAGAGCTAGGACTCCAGGTGGATCCTGCATAGAACCTCTTCTATTTTGGAGAGGCTCACACTGTTACAGGAGAAAGCTGCTGTAAATTCTTGGATTGTTTTCAGCCCATAGATTTCATCAAGTCTGCTGTGGGATGTAAGGCAATTCTCCTGACTTATTGTAACTCTGTTTAAGATCTGTGAGAGCTCTGGTGAGTCACTGGTGTCCTGTGAAGGCGAGTGCTGCAGCACCTTTCACATGGAGTGTCTGGGCCTGAAGGCGATGCCGGAGGAGAAGTTCTTCTGCACGGAGTGTAAAAATGGTGAGTGTGTTCCCAGGGCTGAGAAATGGGCAAGGATTTCCTGCTCTGCCACAATATGATTAGAACAAATAAGGTTTACTTACAGAACCTTAAAATGTTTCAGTTTGGTCTGTTCTGTTACTTTTCTTAGCCTCTGATGCCAGATTTTCACTTGGCAAGTAGCTGGGAAGAGAAAGGGTGACAAACTGTTGAGAGTCCTCTCAGCATAAAGCAGTTCAGGTTAATAGCAGTTCAGTAGTGCCTGTGAATTGTAGCACCAACCAAACATCCGTGTTGATCAGAGCAGCGAAGTTCTGTTCATTCAGATGGTTTTTTTTTTTTAACAGCATCCGTATCCTGAAGTACTGATGGTTACATTTGGGCTTCTTTATTCCTTCTTTTACAAGGAGAACACACGTGCTTTTCTTGCAAGCTCCCTGGCAAAGATGTGAAGCGCTGCTCTGTCAGCACCTGCGGTAAATTCTACCACGAGGCCTGCGTGCGCAAGTTTGCCACAGCTCTGTTTGAGTCACGAGGATTTCGGTGCCCTCAGCATTGCTGCTCTGCCTGCTCCGTGGATAAGGACATCCATAAAGCAAGCAAAGGTGAGAGCAGAGCTGGCTCTGAACGGCAGGAGAAACGTCAGATGCATCACCACGATGAGTCTGACTGCCAGTAACGCAGCGAGGAAGAAGGGCTTCATTCTTAACGAGGTCTTTGAATCTGTTGTGGGTGGGAAAGCAAGCTGGCAGCCTGAGACCATTGGTGTGAGCAAGCCTGGATCTGCAATGCTGACGTTGGCTTCTGTTGCTGAGTTTAGTGTAAGCTGAGGGTTAGTGGCACGAGGCTGAGGAGTTTGCTTTTTCCTAAAGACAGTTGGGAGTGACTGCTAGAACAATTCAGGGGAAGAAAGAATCCTTTTAGAAATGAACTAAAATCATTAAGCAAAAAAGCGAACTCTAGAATGTTTAAACCATGTGTCTTCTTTTCCCAACAGGGTTCTGAAGTGAAAGCTAACTTTTGTGAAACTTTTTCCAAGATGTAAATGTCTGTAATCTAGCACAACGCGTGGAATAAAAGTCAGTCCTGCCTCTGTCTGTGCTGCCTTGTACCAAATCTTGACTCCAGGGTGACATGGTGCATTTTGTTTTTGCATTTATATTAAACAGGTCGCATGGTGAGATGTTTCAGATGTCCCATTGCCTATCACTCAGGAGATGGCTGTATTGCTGCAGGAAGCTTATTTGTGTCATCCCACATTCTCATCTGTAGTAACCATTCCAAAAGGAATCACTCCTCATCAGCTGTAAATGTAGGCTTTTGTTTCGTTTGTGCAAGAGGTGAGCACAACTGTTTTTTCCTCCCTCTGTTTTATAGTTCTTCTGTTGTCACTTGTGCAGTTTAATGATAAAAGTGATGTGAAAGAAACATCTCTTAGGGCTGTGAGGGGTTTTAATGCTTTCTGTGATTTTTGGTGTAGTCAGCAGTTCATGTTAAGCTTCTACATGCTATTTTGGTCCCTCACTCAGAAGGCATGCTTCTGTTGCCAGTAGAAAAGAATAGATGCTGAGCCCCCAGTTCTAGTCATTGCAAGCTGAGAATGAACACTTATTATTCACTGTCTGTTAAGCAGAAGGGGGATTCTTTCACCACTCACAAATAGAAACAAGTGTTTAAGGCTGGGAGTGAGGATTTACTCATGAGCTAGAAAAAGAATCATTTTAAATTCAAACTACCATCATGTTTGAGAACTTTGAAAAGAAAGCATTTCCAATACCATGTAAACAAGTTCCATGCTAGGATTTTCCATGTGTCCATTTTTTTTTTTCTTTTTTTTTCTTTCCATTTTTTTTTTTTTTTACTTTTCTGGTTCTCCAGTCGCTTGAGTCGTTCCAAACAGCAAGCTGATAAGTTACAGCACACCAGTTACTCAAGTAATGTAAAAACATTGTTTTCTCTGGTGAAAGACTGTGAGGCTACAAGAGCAAACTCACTGGATGGGTTGGATTGAGTTCTGTCAGTCATATGTGGTCAGCATAGGGACACAAGGTAAGGACAGCATCTGTGAGAGAAGAACTGCTCAGAAGGAAATGGGGAGCTGAACAAGCTAGAAATACTTAGGCATCTGTGTGAGAAGAGTTACTTAATTAGTTTTAGCTGATGTTAGAAGGAGATTTTCTGTGTTTCGATGCAAAACAGGAGTGAGGTGGGAAAAAGCATCATTAAAACTTAATCATCATGAGGTACTTAAAGAAAACATTGAAGTCTTCTTATTCACCTTCCTGAAATATCCTTCATTAAAACACTTCATAGTTCATGTAACTGCATGTGTGTAGATCATCCTTGCTTCAGGAGCTGTTCTGAGGATGTGCTTTGCAGGCAGGCAGGCACCATTCTGCTCTCACCAGTTTTTTAGGTACCACAATTCCAACACTTCTTTTCAGCACTCGGCTCCGTGCCCCTCTCTCAGGGCAATGAGTTGGTGGCTATCTTGGTGGCTCATCCTCCGTGCTTCTTTGGATCTCAGCTGTAACACTTCCCAGAATTATTGGTTGAATGCTTCTCACCTGTACCTCTGGCTTTCTGACCTACGCTGCCTGACTTGGAGCAGTGTGGGGAAACTCTTCTTGGTGGAGAAAGACAGAAAAAAAGCATGCAGGCATCATTTGAAACAAAGGCATTTAGCAGAACAGGGTGCTACTCCAAAAGGTCTGATTTGGCAGCTGTGGGGAGGCTGTTAGTGCAATTCTTACCTAAACGCAATGGGTGTAGGGCAGAATTTTCATCCATTCTTTCTCCTCTGCTGCTTGCAGAATCACTGAGCCCTCCTGTTACTTTTTAAATTCTAAACCAATGATAAAGGCAGAGTGCTTCCATAGGTAAGATCTTGGCTTTCTAGGATGTGGGATGGTGAATTCTGCAGCTGTGGGGCCGCGTGGAGGATTTGTGTTCTTCCAGTCTGTAGCCCCAGCTGCTGGTATTGCCTTAGAAGCAATGGCTGCCATCACCCAGCTCTTCACATGAGCTTGCTTTTGCTCATTTGGGAGGGTGGTTTGCACAGGATGACACTGGGTTGACACTTCTCTTGTGCTTTCCTGTAGATGCACAAATGTAAAAGCACCATTGAAGTTCCAGTTAGGAGAAACTTATCCGCTGTAGGTTTTTCCAGTTACAACTGAATTTAGTCTCTCTGACCTGTGACCTCCTTCTTAGTGAAGAAACTTTGCCAGACTTTTCTTTTATCTTTATCTATCATTTTATCTTTTTTCCATTCACTCGTATATGCATTATAGGTGTTTCATTTGCTTTATTTTATTTTCTCCTTTACGGAATCATGGGTAGTTTCATTGCAACTCATCTCTTTCTGTTTGTTTCGTATAGGGCTGGTAGTGCAGGATCATTCAGACCCCCTGTTCAGTTCATATGCCTATAAATCCCACTACCTACTGAATGAATCAAATCGTGCTGAGTTGATGAAATTACCTATGATTCCTCCTCCTTCGTCAGCTTCCAAAAAGAAATGTGAGAAAGGTAACCAAAATAGTTTCTTTCTCTTTTAATTTACTTTTGCTTTTTCTATTATTTCTCTATCTTTAAATCAAACAAGATATGTCTGCTTGTCGAGCATCACTTACTGCTTTTCAGTAAATTTCACTCATTGATTATTGTGAGCGTGTTCATGTCGTTGGCAATTTTTTTTATTATTATTATTATTGAAGGGCTTAAAATAATTGCTGTCACTAAATTCTCTTTGGAAGAGGCTAAATCATTTTGTACCTGGCCTAGATTACTCCACTGTCAGGAAGCTGTTCACACAGCTGTAGGAAGAAGAGACAAACAGAGCTTGGTACCATTGCAGTTCAGTGCTTACCTCGATGGTGTACAGAACAACAGCTTCTTAAATTGGTTTTATGTACAGAAGAAGAGGGGAAATCTGTCAGATCTTGTAGGTAGGCTAAGCCAAGCCCAAGGGAATGGAGGATTTTTCAGGCGGAACATCGCTGGGTGCTGTTGCCATTCCAGAGGAGATGCAGAGGGAAGGTGGTGAGGTCGTGCTGTGTCTGTGTGTGTTGCAGTCCTCGGGCTGTTCCTCTCCTGCTGCTGCTCCTGGCACTGCTGCTGTGCTGGGCAGGAGTGGCAGGAAGGGCTGCACCTCCAACAGAGGGGTTTTGTCCTGTGGAGAAAACTGCAGGGTTTATTGCCAGGAGACAGAGCTCGTTTCATGCTGGCGTGGGTGCAGTGCTGGAGTGTCTCAGAACACCGCATGGGGAGATGCACGTTGTCTCTATGAAATACTCAGATGTTATATTTTATTCCCCACAGAAATGGTGCCCAATTAACCATTCTAAAGTTAGGTTATTATCAGTGTTGCTAGACTGATGGCTTTCAGTAGTTTCTGTAAGTCCTGAAAACAAAAATTATTTTGAGCCCTCTGCTTAGCTTGAGCAATACCTTACTAATGCATCCTGAGAGCAATTTTTTTTCTTGCTTAGCATTGAAAGATTTGTTTGATTTTGCTTGATTTTTTGCATCTCCTGGCATTTTACCGTGTTGGATAATGCTGTGGTGATTTACACTGGGGCTGTATTTCCTCTGAGATCCTATTTGCAAAAATTACTTGAGAAGTTGAAGTTTGACTTTGGGGAAAGTCTGGGAAAACCCACATGGTTGGAATTTGCTGGCTGTAGCAGAGGAAATACAGTATTGGTCGTGTGATTCATTTGTTTAAGGAATGCTTATTGCAACATTCAACAATCAATTAATGTAATGACAATTTGGAAAGTCTATAGGTGGACAAGATTTTCTGGTACGTGTTCTGGTGCTTCTTTTTCCATACTGCGACTGAAAAATTCCTTCAAAAGATCTGAAGTATCTCCCAGATTTTTGGTCCCTGGGACACAAACATTTGATTTTCTTCCTGCTCCTTAAATGCATATATATATATATACACATGTGTAATACGTCTGTATATATACTTATATAAAATACTACAATATGTGTGTTTTACTGAGACCCATTGTGTGAGCTGCTCTGGTTGCTGAGGATGGCTTAGAGATGTGCTGTGGCTCTCCATGTGTAATGCATCTGCCTGAACATTTGTCCAAAGAAATGGAGACTTGTGCAGGTCAGCCACGCTGCACTGAGAGCTCCTTTGCACGCAGAAGGAACCTTTGGGATATAAGAACATCATCTGTGGTGCCACTGCATCATCTAATTGAGTTCATGTTACTCAAAACACTTTGTTTTTCCTTTTTCTGATACGGACAGATTGGTAATGAGAGCTCTTTCTATGATGCCATTACTGCAGAAAAGCATTGATCGACCTATAGGCTGTGGGAGTGGGTTTTGTTCTGCACACTAACTGATTGCTAAGGGATTCAGTCATAACAATGTTGATTGAAAAAGTATCTCTTAGAATTGGGTTTTTTGTCACCGTTCAAGTTTTGGCCATCACCAAAGGCATTGAAGTTGATGGCACTGCTTCCATCTCTAGTGCTTCCTTCGAGTTGCTTCTATTGCCAACTTTGCTCACCTTGAAAAAGCATTTGCTGTGTAGTAGATGGCTGATGCAATTAAGAGCCACAATTTGCACATTGCAGAAGTGCAGAAATGCACTGCAGCTTTTTTTTTTTAATCCAGCATTGTAAGTTTGACTTGATCCCTTTCTTTTGGCATATTTTCGCTGTGAGGCAAGCAAAGGTTGAGAATATATGACTAAAAATTGATATCAATTGCTGTGCACAAGAGGAGGCAAATCCTTACTTCTATAAACCAGACAGGGTTTCTTTGTTTAAAGGTGGAAAACTGTTGTGCTGTGAATCCTGCCCAGCTTCCTTTCACCCTGAGTGTCTCAACATAGACATGCCTGAAGGATGTTGGAATTGCAATGACTGTAAAGCTGGCAAGAAGCTACGTTACAAGCAGATTGTTTGGGTCAAGCTTGGAAATTACAGGCATGTTGACCATTTTGTTCTTCTCTTGTTGTTTTGTTTGAATGTCCTGTACGATCACGGGAGGGTGACTCAAAGTAGCTGAGTCTTGGAAAGCAAGAACTTGAAATATAATGATCAATTTATTTCATTTCAGGCATCAGTGTTTCTCTTCAAATTGAGTTCTCCTGCTTTTCCAGGCACTGAAGGATACTGAATTTTACTGGCATTGGTTCTGTAAAATGCAATAGCAATATAGAAAACCAGGGACTGCCTTACAGAGCCCTGATGTCTTAGCCTGTGTTTATTCTTTGTCACCTGCAAGAACAAAAGCATTTGTAGGTGGTCTTAAAAATCCATTCTTATGTCATCTTCTCACAAGACTTTTCCAAAATTTAGAGCAAGAGCTTTAATAGCAAAGGGCTTCTGCTGTTTTGTGTGGCAAAAGTAGCCTTGGTTGTGTAAGGGAGGAGTTAATTTAATTGAAGGGGAAGAAGTGGCTGCTTTTATTTTTTGATGTAAGAGCGAAGCAAGCTTGGAGGCTTAGGCTGCTGTTGCCAGAACTTACATGCATCTTTTCTTTGTGCTTCCAGGTGGTGGCCAGCAGAGATCTGCAATCCCAGGTCTGTGCCTCTCAACATACAGGGCCTCAAACATGATATCGGGGACTTCCCAGTATTTTTCTTTGGTTCACATGACTACTATTGGGTACACCAGGGCAGAGTTTTCCCTTATGTTGAAGGAGATAAAAGCTTTGCTGAGGGGCAAACTAGTATTAACAAGACCTTCAAGAAAGGTAAAATCAAACAAAGTTTATAGTGGTTTATGACAAAAATTCCACGTGTTTGTGTCTCCATCACCACTTAACCTGCATGGGAGTATTATGTGACTGGTGTTCTGTGTTCACACATAAAGCTGCAAACATTGTAGATCCCTTAACTGCAGATAAAAAGTATTGTAACTGCCTGCTCATTGTGTATTGTTGTGGGCAGGTTCACTTCTTTCACAGTCTGGACATTGTGAAGGTGGTGTTTGGGCTCAGCTGCATGGGATCATTGTTCAGTATCTCAGTTTCTGCTGAAAAGTATCTGATAAAGCTAGATCCATGATGTACTGCAATAACTCATCTTTAACTTTCTGGATTTTTTTGTGGATGCATTTCTGCTCTTAGCTTAAAGAGAAAGTATATGTTTGATTAACAGCAGCTGGTGTTAATTGCTTCCTATTTTGAACTCCTTCCCTTGAACAGCACTTGAAGAAGCAGCAAAGCGTTTCCAGGAGCTGAAAGCACAAAGAGAAAGCAAAGAAGCATTAGAAATAGAAAGAAATTCAAGGAAACCTCCACCGTATAAACACATTAAAGTGAGTTGGCTGCTTTTTTCTGTTTATGAGTAAGCTAATTGCATGCTTGCAACAATTTCAGCTTAAGGAGATGCACAAGAATCATTTTGCTGTTCTTTCCAAGAATCTTTTGTTCTCTCATGGTACCAAAAACCATTCTTTTAGCAGAGAATCAGTCCAAGTTAACAGTTGAAGATCAGCTCGACCTAAGGCAGAGCTTTGTTGCTTGCAAGCTGCTCTCATCCCTCTTAGTTTCATGCTGGCTGTTACAACCTTTTTGCCCACTCAGCCTACTTAAGAGCTGTGGAATCTGATTCTTGCCAGCAGTTTGGGACATGTCAGGCTCCATATTTTTCATATGAAGTTCTTAATTTTAGTGTAAAGAAATCCTGTACTTGAAAAAGTTGTTCAGAATCTTTGTGCTCATTGTCCTCAGCTTTTCTTCTTTTTGTCCCTCTGTTCTGCAGTCCAACAAGGTAATAGGGAAGGTTCAGATTCAGGTGGCTGATCTGTCAGAAATCCCCCGCTGTAACTGCAAGCCATCTGATGAGAACCCCTGTGGTCTGGAGTCCGAGTGTCTGAACAGGATGCTGCAGTATGAGTGCCACCCCCAGGTGTGCCCAGCAGGAGAGAGGTGTCAGAACCAGTGCTTCACCAAGAGGCTCTACCCTGATGCTGAAATCATCAAAACCGATCGACGTGGATGGGGTCTCAGGACAAAAAGGAACATTAAAAAGGTAGAATGAAAGTGAACAAAACTCCTTTTTTACAGTAGGTGAGAGCGCTGCAACTTGAGGAAACGCAGACCAAAGTTTCACTGCTCCCAAGTGAAGTATTTTAAGTGTTTCAAAGGCACTTGTGTGGGTGCAGCACTGATGGCGAAACCCGTTCAGCTGTTCTGACAGAGTTGTCATAAACTTGATATTTACTCCCAGAACAAAAGCGAGTTTCAGGTGACTGAATTCAGGTTCCATGGGTGGAGGGGATGAGGTCGCTGTCTCTTGTTTCTAGGAGGAAAAAACCTGTGTTTTCTCAGTGACTGCTGGGCAAAAGGGAGACCTCAGTCTGGAGAAGTAGTCTGAATGCTGATTTCATTCTGTAAATAACACCAATGATAGATGATGAAGTCGTAGGGTTTTGGCACAATAAGTCACCTTACACGTGGTTTTATTTTTGTTTTTTTTGTTTGTTTTTTGACTTTTCAGGGTGAATTTGTGAATGAATACGTTGGGGAGCTCATTGATGAAGAAGAGTGCAGACTGCGAATTAAACGTGCCCATGAAAACAGTGTAACCAATTTTTATATGTTAACAGTTACGAAGGTGAATACTATGATTTCATTCAGTATAAGCTGTTTATGCTTGGAACTATTTCAGTTTCATAAGCCCTTTTCTGTGGGAGTGACTCTGGAAAACTTCCCTGTTCTTACTAATTTGAACTAGAATCTTTTTTCCCCTTCTTAGCATGTAGTTACTTGTCAGCAGGAGACTTTTTGTTGTGAGAACCAAACATAATCTGTGCTGTTTCTCTGCCTTTTCATTTCAAGGATCGGATCATAGATGCTGGTCCAAAGGGGAATTATTCTCGCTTTATGAACCATAGTTGTAATCCAAACTGTGAAACACAGAAATGGACAGTGAATGGTGACATCAGAGTTGGGCTGTTTGCTCTGTGTGACATTCCTGCAGGTAAGAGGATGGCTCTGTTGTGTGTATGCACTGCTGTTAAAATCCAAAGCTTCTAACTTTTACCCAGTTTTCTTTGTGGAAACTGCTTGATCCAAGTGACATCTATCAGAACTTGGTCACTTGTTGAGGTAGAAATGTTACTGATGCAAACCTGCTTTCCTCAGAGCCAGTGTGGACAAATTGTTGTTCTTTACATTTTAGGAATGGAGTTAACATTTAATTATAACTTGGATTGCCTTGGGAATGGCAGGACTGAGTGTCACTGTGGAGCAGAAAACTGCAGTGGTTTCCTAGGAGTGCGTCCAAAGGTATGTGGGTGAAAATTGGATCTGTTTTGCTCCCTTGAAAGTCTCTAGAGATTTTAGTTATGAACTGTAGTACAGCCATTTCCAAGTTAAAGTTAATTTACTAATTGGCTACTTCAGATTCATGTGGATGTGCACTCCTGACTTCTGTAGCTTAAAAGCTTTTTTGAGCAAATTTAATGTGAGCCTCATTCACGCAAATAACAGCCAAAGGTGATTAAATTTATTTTCATGTGAGGGATTTATAAAGTGACTGCTGTTATCTTGGTAATTGCTAGACAGCATTTGCAACAGCAAACGAAGAGAAGGTGAAGAATGCAAAATTAAAGCAGAAGAAGAGGAAAATAAAAACAGAACAGAAGCAGATGCACGAAGACAACTGTTTCCAGTGTGGAGATGGGGGAGAACTTGTCATGTGTGATAAAAAGGACTGTCCCAAAGCTTACCACCTCCTATGCCTTAACCTGACTCAACCACCTTTTGGTAAGAGCATTCCTGTCACTTGCTTTTCCTTCCTGCAGTAAGGCAATGTTGGAGCTGAATTGTGGCATCTGTTTACATGAAGCATAGCTGGTTTTGCAGTGCTGTCTGGCTTTAGAAGTCTATCAGGTGGCAATGCGCCCTGTAACAGGAACTTGTGGAGAGAGGAAGCATTGTAATGTTATTTAACTTGATGCTTCTGTTCCTTGGATCAATTTTCCTTTTCTTTTAGTTCAAGTACAGCCATCGTCTTGACATGCCAAGGTCACCACCCACAAATCATGTGATAGATCATGTGTTATGTGCCTTTCTGTTGCAAGCATAGAAGCTTCCCTCATAATTAGCTTGTTTGCTGGAGGAAGAAGTAAAGAGTGTCTTAACACCAAGAGCAACTCGAATTCGAGTTTTCAGTGTTTCTTTGTTTCTCATTGAAGCTCAGCCTCCTGTCTCTCTCTTCTCCCTTCCCCTTCTATCTTCAGGAAAGTGGGAATGTCCGTGGCATCAGTGTGACATCTGTAGCAATCCTGCAGTTTCGTTCTGTGAGTTCTGCCCTCATTCGTTCTGTAAGGATCACGAGAAAGGAGCCCTGGTGGCATCGGCACTGGACGGCCGTCTCTGCTGCTCCACACATGACCCCAAATCTCCCGTGGCACCCGAGTACTGGAACAAGATAAAATGCAAATTGGAACCTCAGAATCCCGTAGAAGAAGCAAAGGAGTGAATTTTTGTTTAAAAACAAACAAAAACAACAAGGGAGGGAAGAAGAGGAGGGGCAAATAGGAGATGAACTTGAAGAGACTGCTATGGCGCATTCAGTCTGTATCATCGGCGCTGTCTTGTGTGAACTGGGAGTGGGACCACTTACCAAGCAGAAGCAGGCAGTGGTGTTTGTTTTTTTATTGTTTGGTCTTTTACCCTTGAATGTGCTACAAGCAGCTCTTTCTGTTGGGAAACAAACATCTCGGCCTTCTAAAGCAAACAGTAGACCTTCAGACAGTGAAAAGAATACTCTGTTTAAAGATGTTCAAGTGTAGAAAACAAAGCATAGCAACATATTTATTTATTTAATTTTTCAAGGATGTTGAAGATCTGGTTTGGATCAGTCAGCGTGTCTTTAAAAACAAACAACAAAACAGCAAAGCCAACGTAACTCCTACGTCTAGTTTACAACAGGAACAAAACCCTCCCTGCGCTGTGTAACATTCAGGTATCGTGAAGACAGAAGTGGGTTTCAGACCAGGTGACTGAAATGCCTCCATTCCGTACTTATTTTTAAAGGCAGGTTGTATATCATGTTTAACTTGTGAATATTGCTGTAAAGCTTTTCCTGTGAGAAATAATGTGTATGGCTCTTTGGGAGTGCTTGTAACACAAGTGCTGATGTTTTAAGAAGGAAGGAAGTAGTTGCTTGCTTGGAGAGCTGTAATTGGTGGTGTTTGCAGACAGGTGGAAATTCAGAAGGAGCTGAATTGCATACTGGTCATTTCTTTACTAGGAGAACCTTCCTAGTTAGGAGAGCTCCTGGCCTTGGTCGCACTGCAGCACACAGAACTGAGGTCAGCATGCTGCCCTGGGAGCAACTTTCTCTGACTGCTTTTGGTGGAGGATTGTTCTGTGTGTGGATTTGTCACCTGCCAAGTTCTGCACTTGTTTGATGGCAATTATGTTATTGTGGATCTTTATTGCTTTCTTCTCAGACTCCCATTGGCTCCAGAGGAGATTCGAGTGCTTAAGGAATCCAACCCATCTTCATGTTTCTTTTGATTTGAACGTTCATGCTGTTAGTGAAAAAGATTTTCTGACTTTATAACGTTCACTGTTAGCAGAGCTAAGAAAAGCAAGTTAGTCCCCTGCAGCACTTCATCCATAACAGAGTGTTTGCAGTGCCAGGTAACGGGATTCACAGCAGCCACCCTCAGCCTGGTGGGGTGTTTGTGTTCTGTATTTCCTTTGTTAATCTGCAGGGGAGCAGGCTGCTTCAGTGAGGCTCCTGAGTTGGCTTAGGTAGGCTCCTGCTCCAGATTTTCTTCTGCAAACCTATCCTATCCTGCAATCCTCAAGCAAGGAGCTTAGAGGGATTAGTCTCTCCAGGCTGAAGTTGGTCTTTGAATCTCCTCCCCTAGCCTGCAGCCTTTCCAAGCTCTGCAGTCAGCGTGCTTTGGCTGTGTGCTGGTGCTGGCTTTTTGCTCATGGCTCTTGGAGGTAGCCCTGAACAAAAGGAATCAATTTGAAGTGTTGCTGGCATCTGGCTAAATGGAGCCTTTGAATTAATTCTCAAGAACCCTGTCTCTGGGAAACTGCTGACATAAACCTGCAGGAACGTGGTGACTTCTCAGCCTGAGAAAACAGGCGAGGAAGACACACGTGGGATTGTGGAGCTTCTGCTTCTGGCTGCTGTCCTTCTCATTCTCAAACTTATGGATGGGAGGGGAAAAAAAAACAAAAGCTTGTGCACTTGTGAAGTTACAAAATACACTACAGTCCCTCAAAGCAGCCGTGGTGCCCAGCAGCTGATCTGTCAGTGCACCTCTGAGCCTTCCTGCAGCCTGGGGGTGTTTGGGGGCGCAGCAGGGCCAGCGCTGCTGGGCTCAGCTGGTGGGAATATAAAGCACTTCTCGTGGTCCATGCTACAGTGAATGTCTGAAACACTAATCTTGCTTGAAATATTTTTTACGAAAATATTTACAGAAAGAATTTTATTTTTCTGAGCATTTTGTGTGATAAATGTCTCTTTTTAAGCTCTTACTGGGGGTGTTTCACCTCCTCAGTGATTCCAAACGCAGCCGTTGCTGCGGTGTCTGTAAGGCTTGATGTGTTTACTTTATTTTTATTTATTAGTCTTGGTAGTGTTGAAATGATTTTTCTCTTGGGAAGTCAGAGCATTCCAATGATTACAGATGTGCTGTAGTGTGAGTGCACCTCACTCTGTGTCCGTGCTGAGGTGTGCTGATGCCAGAAGCCTTCGCAGCTGTTGGAGATGGCAGTGAGCAGAACACAGCTGGTGAGCATCAACTGCCACGTGCAACCTGTTGCTGTGATGTTCTGCTATGCTGCATAGCACGGAATGTGAAGGTTTGCAAAAGGCTTTAAAAACTTCTGAAATGCTGTGAATTGGGGCCTGCTGCTACTCCTGTGCCATGCCACTTGATTCCGGGTTAACTTTTTTTCTCAAACTTCTTACAGGTGCTCCTTTTTTTCCACCAAAAAAAGAAAAGTAATAATGATAGCCAGCAGCTGGGCTTGGACTCAAAAGGGAAAGCAGGAAATTGGTTTGTAAGCTTGTGCAGCTCATGAACAAAAATCTGAACTGGATGTCACACTGCTGGAGAGAAGGTGAATCTAAAATCTTAAAGGGTGATATGAGGAAGGATTCAGAATAGCTTGATAGTTGTGCTGAGTTTGTTCTGTATGCCATATGCGGAGCTTTAAAACACACCTTTTCAACCACATCTTGGTCAATGGAGGAGAAAGAGAGTGCAATTGCTTTGTACGAGGGGGGGGAAAGAGATGTGACAGATCTGTGTTGTGATTAAGTGGCATCAGCTGCTGGATTCCATCTGTGTGGTCTCAGAAGTGAGGGGAGCAGTGCTGGGCAGCAAAGGCCTGGAGGAAATCCCCAGAGCTGCTCCATTGAGCTGTGCAACCTCCTGTCCCTTAGCTGGGATGCAATCCTGCTTCTCCCTTACTTTTGGCTTACTTTTTTGGAGGGAGTTGCTGTGCTTCAGGTGCACAGCTGACCCCGGATCTCTCTGTAGTGTGCAGCATCTGAGCTGCTCTGCTAAGTTAGCAGGACTTTGGTGTTTACTGGACTCTGTGCTCTGCAGTACGCACGCGTGGACGTTCTGCAGATCACAACCCAATGGTGCAATGGTCAATTACTGCAGTTTCCTGCACGCGTGACACAAGCATTAATTATTGTAGCTTTCAGAATTCATCAGACTTGTCCTGTCAATGGACTGTAAGGATCAAAGGCATTATTTGCAGCTCAGGAAGGATGGCATGATGATGATTTGTATGGGCAAATTCCCTTCTCTGGTCACCACCGCGGTCTGAGAGAGTTACAATGGGGCTGGAATGTAGAATTTTGGCCTTTCTTCTAAAACCTTGTTATCTTTGTTTCAGGATAGAACGAGAGACACAATTACTAGATGTAATTAACAATGAGCATAGAATCTGTATATATGGAGACTTTACAGAACTATGGGGTGGGTGGGGAGGAGGGCGGGAGGGGACGTCCAGCGCTGGTACGAAGTGGTCACTTTAACATGAAACCTCTGCCTCATTGAATTCAGGGTTTAATGTACTTGAAGCTCTGCATTCCTTATACAGCTTATTATTTTTTTTTTTTATAATTATTATTATTATTTTATTTATACATCCCTTGTTTTGTATACGGCATCGAAGATGTGTTCACCTCCCTGCTGTCACCTCTGCTCCTGTGGCACTGGACTCTGCGGTGCCGCCTGAGCGGCGATGGCCATTTTGTGTTCGGTCTCAGCTTTTCCCCCCTTTCCCCCCATCTTACCTTCGTGTAGCAAAATGGTTTGCACTTCTGATACACTCCTATCCTTTGGATGTATTCACAACCTTGTTCTAAGGAGGAAAAGAGAAGCTGTTTCCTGTCGTATCGCGTTGCTGAGCGGCGGATTCGGGTCCTTGTGCTCCAGCGAGGGGCTCTCACTGCTGGAGGAGGGGGGAACTGAGTGGAGATCTGAGCTTTGCACAGGAGATTAATGGGAATGGATGGGAATTAATCTCCTTTGCACAGGTAATTAATGTGAAAACAAAAGGGCGCACAGCATGCGTGACTCCGTGCCGGCTGTGAGCTCTTGGTCCCTTCTCCAGGGTGAGGATGGGAGCCCTGCATCGCTGCTCTGTGTCCATTTGCTGCCACTTCTCCTTTCTCACAAAGTGAAGGCAATGGCAACGACTGCCTGCGGGGATCCTGGGCCTCACCGCCGACCTTCACAGCGTCGCCATTTCTGTCTGCTTTGTTCCTCCGTACCAAACTTTGTAGGTTCTGTGAGATGTTCTTTTAACAAAATCACTTTCAGTCTTTACCTGCAATGCATCAGCAGTCACTGAAGTCACTCTAGAGCTGGGAAGCCGACCCGGAGCTCCGGGTGCTGTTCTGGGGTGTTACTGTACCATGGTTGGTGTTTTGCCACATAGGCTTTGAGAAATACCATTTTTGGGGGTTGTGTCGTTCGGCCTACGTTCTCTTGCATAGTGTGAAGCCTGTAAAGCTCGGTTACCCTGTACATAGGTAGCTTATTGTCAGCCGGTTCTAGCGTACTTAGCCTTGCCTGTAATATTTTAGCTTCTTACTGAATGTGTGTGATGGTAGAACATATAATTTTTGTACATTATATTTACTGAGATGTTGCCTTTTTTATTTTACAAATACTTTGGAATTCAGATGTGTTTTTGCTTCCGTGAGGATTCATTTGGAAAGGTTTTTAAATGACATTCCACCGATTTGAACTTTTTGCTTGAGGTTGACTTCAATAAATCGTTCTGAATGTTCCAACACCGGCCGCCTCCCCCCTTTCTTCCGGGGCCGGGATTCGAACTCGCGGCGCCGCACTCTGACCCGGGGCGGGGCCACGCGGTGGGCGCCATGCGGCGGGCGGGCGCGGCTGGGCTGGCGGCGGAGGCGGCGGTGCGGGCGATGCTGGCGGCGGTTTGCGGGTGAGTGCCGGGCTGCGGGGTTCCGCTCCGCTCCCTGCCCCGCAGATGCCCGCAGCCCTCATTTCCCTCCGCAGGGTGATGGAGCTGCTGCCGCCCTTCCAACGCGTGGTGCAGCCCGAGGAGATGTGGCTCTATCGCAACCCCTACGTGGAAGCGGATCGCGTTCCCACGGCGCCGATGTTCGTAAGTGCCGCGGTTCCTGCACTCGGTTTGCCTTCGTTTGTCAGCTGTTGCTTGAAAGCAAAGCTACGGGCACAAAGCCGTGCAGATGCCTGCAGTTCTCGTCTGAAGTCACTGCGAGCGCAGCGCTCTTGAAGCAGTACAGCCATTTTTTGTAGTCCTTTTAGCCCTTACCATCCAGAATCGCCCTTTGGGTTTGAACTGAGCTTACAAATACCCCCTGAGAACTTCTCACCGTCTTGTTTTGGTTGCTCTGCTAACGCTGGGCCGTTTTTTCCCTTCGCTGCAGTTCATTGCGTTCCTGTCTCCGGTGCTGCTCATCATCCTTGCCCGCCTGTTCCTGGGGGCTGACCACGAGGACACAAGGGAGGCGTGCCTGGGTGAGCAGCTCCTGGCCCCGCAGGGCTGCCTGGGGGGGTTGGGAAGTCCGGGGGGGTCTCGCAGGTGAGGCCTTGCCAGGACACAGACATTATGCTGGGGTGTTAAAGCTGAGCGATTCGGCTCCAACTTGTCCACGTGGACCTCAGTGCTGCACGGGATGTGCCTGGTGAGCAGTGAGGCACAGAACGTTGCAAGCTGAGCACCAGCAGCTCAGGCAGCCTTTGTGGGGCTGATGGGAGCTCTCTGCTTTCTCCCAGCTGTCAGCCTTGCTCTTGTCCTCAACGGGGTCTTCACCAACAGCCTGAAGCTCGTGGTGGGCAGGTGAGGAGCTCCGGGCTGTGTGGGATGGGATGTGCAGTATTGGAGGTAGAAGAGGAGGAGGAAGGGCTGGATGCTGGAATTTAGATGTGCTCAGCCTGAAACAAAAGGTTTTTTTGTAGTTGTAAAGATGTAGTATTAGAGCAATGCCGTTCTCCAGGCATCATTTAGATGAGCACATGGAGGCCTGCACCAGGGTCGGGGTGACTGCATGCTGTGGTTGGGGTGGCAAAATGTCACCCTGGAAGACTGTGCAGTGGTGTGTTGCAGTGGTGTGTCCCGGGCTGGTGAGGGGACATTGAGGCTCCAAGCATCCCACAGAGTGTGGAGCAACCTGCTCTGCTCTGCTCCTCTGCCCCAGGCCACGGCCAGACTTCTTCTATCGCTGCTTCCCAGACGGACGAGTGAACACAGAGCTGACCTGCACAGGTGACCCCAGCCTGGTGGCTGAGGGACGTAAAAGCTTTCCCAGTGGGCATTCCTCGTGTAAGTTCTGGCTGCCTGGACAGCAATTTGTGGAGAGCAGGAGCCTGGGGAGAGGGCAGCGTGGCTTTGCTGTCACACACACACCATTCTGTGACCTTCCTTTCAGTCGCCTTTGCTGGCCTCTCCTTCTGTGCCTTCTACCTGGCTGGGAAGCTGCACTGCTTTGCTCCTGGCCGGCGAGGCTCAGCGCTGCAGCTCTGTGCTTTCCTCCTCCCCCTGTTCATTGCCACGCTCATCGCTGTGTCCCGTACCTGTGACTACAAGCACCACTGGCAAGGTGGGTCAGCTGTGGTGCCCAAGGCTGGAGCAGCCTGCTGTTCTGTGGCTGCAAAGGTGGACGAAGGTAACTTATCCTGGCCTTGCCTGCAGATGTGCTGGTTGGCTCGGCAATGGGCTTTGTTCTGGCGTACCTCTGCTACAGGCAGTACTACCCTCCTCTGATGGACTCCATGTGCCACAAACCATTTCTGTCTATATCTAAACAACTGCCAGCGCACCAAGAAAAGCCTGCAGCTTCCAGCTTTCACCTGGACGTTTAAGTGATGTCACTGTATTCTGCTGGCACTTCTGCACTGTGAGTATCAGGGCAGGGGAAGGCCCACAGGATGTGTCTGAGGTGGTAAGCTGTCCTGCTCAGTGGGTGTGTGGCTTCATTTCAATTAATTCTGTAGGTGTCCCTTCCTTTGGGAAGCAAGCTGAGCTTCAGCACGTGAGACTTCAGGACAGCCCAGCTTCAGAAGGTCCTACACTGAAAACTGGAGACATGTGATGTGCTGCACCGTGGCTGTGGGTGTTCCTGGGTCGGTCCACAGCAAAGCACAGTCAGGTCCCCTTCAGTGCAGCTGAGCTGCCCCATCCCTTCCCATGGGATGCGTGTGTTGAAGTGAAGGGCAGGACCTGTTGTGGTGCTGGGGTCAAATGCATCTCATCAGTCAGAGATGAACTGATTTGGAGTAATGAATGCAAGGCTGCAGCCTTTAACATGGATGGAGTGGGTGAGACAGAAGATGCAACTAGCGTGATTGTTATCTGTGTTATTGTGCTGGCTCTTTTTTCTTCTTAATTTGGCAAATAAAGGAGTTTAACTTTTAATGAGCTGTGGTACCAAAAGCTTCCTTCAGTGGCTGGGCCTGGGCTCCATGTAGGTCGATGCACCTTGGTTTGTCTGCATGGGTTCCTAGGCAGGTACTTATTTGCTTTCTTTCCCCTTGCAGCTTTAACACAGTTGTAAGGAGGAATCTAAGCACAGCTTTCTGGCAGGACTGCTGTAGGTTAATGGTTTCTCAGGAGTCTCCACCATCCCTGGGAGCGTTCTGTGTCACATGTGTGCATGCAAACTGCAAGGTGAGACCAGCAGAGTGAGAGATGTGTGCCTCTCAAGCTCAGGGAACAGCAGTAACTGATGTGTCATCAGTTTGGGCCCCATCAGCCCCACGTGACCCTGAAGCCTCAGAACTCACAGGCATTGCTTTTCTTTCCCTTCAAATTATGCAAACGTAAATTCTTCGACCCACTCCTCTCCCTCTCCCCCAAATGCATCACAGTCATCTGTTTATTTGTTTTGGCTTTTACTGGAAAAGACATTAAATAACATTTAAAACGTATTTAATCTTTTTTTTTAACAAAGTGCATAACTTAAAAAGCTGGTCACAAGTGTCCCATGTTAAGACTGTTCCTTTTCTTACTCCCATAGGAGGCGTTTAGCAATCGGTAACTCAGACTCTGGAGGAGCAGAATGTCTGCTTCTGCAGTCAAGTAAATGAACAGCTGCAGTTCCTTTGGGCTGGGAGGAGGTTGGAGGCTGCAAACAACACCTTTTGAATAGTGCAAATAACGAAATACAACAGAGGACAAACAAATGGATGCTGTGGAAACGAGGCTTGTTACCCCATGCAGGGCAGAAGTCAGCAGGAGGGAAGTGGCTCTTTCCAAAGGCTGCAGTGACCTTAATGCCACTGAAACGTTTTCCCCCTGCCCGCTCTGAGGCTCCAGCTGCAGCCTGGCAGTGGTTTGGGTCACAGGGAACTGATCACCTGGGGCTCTCTGTTGCCCTTGGAGGAGAGCTAACACAAAACAGCAAGGTGTGGGCTGTGCTGCTTGCTGGACTGCTTGAATCTCTTCTGTGGAGTCACTGAGGCAGTGCTCAGACCCAACAGATCTGGGCTTTGCCTTCGCTGGCAGCATTTGCTGTACTTGCCAACAAAGCCACTGGCTGGAGCCTGACGGGCATGAGATCCCTGCGGCCACTTGGAACTCAGCACTGCTGCGTGCTCCTGCAGAGCAGAGGAGGGCTGTCCCTACAGGGCCCAGTGCCTGGAGCAGCTGCTTTCCCCAATCCAGTTTGGATCTGGAGGTAAAGCTTTCCTGGGGTGCTGTGCACGTGGCTGTGAGCAACGGTCCTTATCTGCACCTCCCAAAGGCTGCAGCACTCCAGCCCAGTGCTACAGCAGGAGAGCAGTGCCTCATCCTTCTCCCATGAGAAGTCAGCATCTCCTTTGCTCAAGGCTGCTATTGCTCTCTCCATGCTGTGTGTTTAAGGCTTTTATTTCTCAAGGTCCCAAGCTAAGAGTATCCTTGCTAAGCCCACAGCTGGGTTCAGGCCCTTGTATCGCGTTTCCTAGCCCAAGCAGCTGTCTGCATCAGTACTGCAAAGCCTGTGATAACCTACAAGCTGGGCAGACAAGTTCAGGGCTGACAGCACGTGTTGCCACAGGGAGTCACAGTGTAAGTGCTGTGTGTGTGTTTGCAGAAGTGGATTTTGGTTGGTTGGTTTTTTTTCCTACCCAAAATGGAGGAAAACCATCTTTATCTCCAGGCAGCAGCAAGTACTGGGGAAGCAGCATGCGGGGCACAGCAGCAGAGGAGAGAGGAAGGCAGAGAAGAAATCTGAACTTTCCTGGTGAGTACTCAATTGAATTGTATCTAAGAAAGCAAAGGGAGAACAGTGGAGTAAATCTTGTGTCTTGACGTGCTTTTGTGCACGATAAAAGAGGAAGGAAGCCCTGTGTGCTGAAAGGCCAAAGGAAAGGCCCAACCAGCGCTGTAAATAAGGAACATTATTCCCTCAAATGGACTTTATGTCGTCTGGGGTCTCCTAGGAAGGTTGGAAGTGTAGGCATAAGGTGACTTACAAGAAGTGGCTGAACAGCACGGGGTGGTCATTGGCTTCCTGGCAAAGGCTGGTCCAGTGTAACACCTATTGTCTGGTAGATCTCCTTCAGAACCAGCAGAACGGTGTCCTCTGACTCCCTGGAGGTGGGGACACAGGCGTGAGCAGGCAGTGCTTCTCCTCATCTTGGTGTTAAGAATGGCAGCGTTCTGCCTACAGCAGACACGAATCTGAAGCTTGACGACAGTTAGGCAGGAGCTTACCAGTAGCAGAGATGCCCTTGCAGTGCAAATAAATACTCATTAAAGCTCTCAATGGGCTTTTCCTGCAGCACGTAGTCGATGCGATTCCCCCCGTTCAGCTTCCCCACGTTAATGAGGGAGGGATCCTCCTTTGCTGGCGCCTGGGCCTCCTCTGGCTTTGGATCTGGAGGAAGGAACAGCAGTTTGTCTCAGCAGCAGCACACAGCAAAGCACTGCCTGGTGCTCCTCCAGCCCTGTGCTCGCTGACCTGGCTGCTTCTCTGCGCTCGCCTCTGTCTCTGCCTCCCCCTCGCTGCTTGTTCCTTCCACAGCTGCCAGCGGGGCGCGGGTGAAGGACTGCCAGGCCACCCGCAGGGACCCCAGCAGGTTGTTCTTCAGATCCACGCTCATACGCGTCAGCCCTTCTTTCAGCTCTGCAAAGGCAAGGGCTGCTTTCAGGCACGAGGCCGTGGCTTTGGGCTGGGGCCAGGGGTGGCCGTGCTCCTTACCGAGGTGCATCCTCTTCCTGCCTTTGTGGTGTGGGAGCAGCATGGGCTCAAATTCCAGATCTGGGACAATCATGGGCTCAATCCTGTATGCCACCGGGTCGAACTGTGGGGAGAGCAGTGAGCGTGGGCTGAGCGCTGTGCCTCGCACCGGAGGGCTGCAGCTCTTATACCTACGGGGTGGAAGATGTTGAAGAAGCCCTTGCAGGTGGGCAGGCTGTAATCTGGGTTGATTCGCTTCACCCCTCGCACCGTGAGGAACATCCCAATGGGAGACCCAAAGGCAAAGAAGATGGCGGGCTTGTAGAGCAGCTGAGGGTAGTTGGCAGAGACCTACAGAGAGAAGGGAGGGTTGGGTTTTTGTTTCATGAGACACGTTCCGTGCTGCTGTGGTCCCACTGCTCCCAGCTCAGCTGTTACCTGCCCCAGGCTGATGTCTGGGTATGGGCCATCCCTGCTGGCAGTGGTGCTGTGCTGCCTGGCAGCGCTGTGTTCTTTGGTGCCCTGCACAACACAGAGGAGCCCTGGTGAGGGCAGGTCCTGCAGGCTGCATGGGGACCCTGCACGAGTCTGAGCTGAGTGATGTGGCTGGGAAGGAGGAGACTGAGCCGTGCAGAAGCCGTACCTGCATCTCCCTCCTGGAGCTGATGTAATGGAGGAGCTTCATTCGTGGTCCTAAGGGAATTCCCATTTCTTCAAGGTTTTTCTCTCCGCACAAGAGCTAGAAAGTAAGCAGTGCAGATATCAGCACGCGCCGCTCTGCTCCTGTGCAGTCAGACCTTTGTTCTTTGTCCTTCTGCTCCTGCTGCGCTAAGAGACATTTCGTGTGCAGGTGATTCAGTACTGGGAAGATGCACCCAGGTGGGGAGGACTGGGAAGTAAAACAAAGAAACACAAAGACAGCAAAACAGCGGAGCTGCTCACCAGCGCTTCCCCATCTATTTTCTCCTTCTCAAAAGCAGGGCAGTACTCAGACAGATCCAACTTCTGCAGGATTTCTTTTACTTCCTCAGCACCCCTGCTGCTTGAAGTTACCTCGGATCCCTGCAAAAGAAGCCCACAGGGATTGTGCTTTTTTCTCTTGGCGCATTTCAGAACTTCTCTACCTTCCCCACCGCCATGCATGGTGCAGAGCTCGTACCTCCCTGCTGTGCTCATCCTCGGGAGCAGCCTTCTGGTTCGTCAGGAGATCAAACAAAATCAGGGACCCTAAAACCCAGGACAGAGCATCATTGGCTCATTAGGGAAAAACCTGAGCATCAGGACAGTCCTTGCTCAACACGACGGGGACATCCGTGGGCCTTACCCAAGCTGTGACCTGCAATGGAAACCCCTCCTTTAAAGCCTGGGTTCCTCTGCAGGAAGAGGAGGTAGAGGCGGTTCATTTCCGAGGCCACCGTGTCCAGGATGGTCTGGCAATAAGTGGAGCTGTTGTAGAAGAAAGCATCCAGGATGGTGTCGTTGATGAAGTGACGCAGGCGGCTGATGCTCGGCAAGGTGATTCGCTCCAGATCCCTGTGGGGGCAAAAAAAGAGGAGAGGAAACTGCAGTCAGAGGTGCCCATGAGCCCTCCCACATCTCTAAGGCAAAGCTTGAGTTCAGAGGAGGCCTGCTGCCATCCTGATATTGCAATCCTTCATTGGAGGCCAAAGCAGAGCACCCAGGAGCCCCCGTAGAGGAGTGTCAGAGCCCCTTCCTCCCAATGGCAGCCAAGGGAAAGCAGCAGCCTCCCAGGGCTGTGAGCACTCACACGTCCACACCGGTGGAGTGCAGGGAGCTGTGCCAATTGACAGGCAGGAATTCCACCCGGCCGATCTGCTGCTGCTCCTGTGCCTTCCTGAAGTGTGCTTGCAGCATGCTCAGGGAAACGCTCCTGAAGTCGTTGACTGGAAAACAAGGCATGAACTCTTAGCAAAGCAGCAGGGCTGCAGGGCAAGGCTTGTGCATCAACGACGCTTAATAAGATAAAAGAAAAGATCATTACCCGGGGAAATCCCAGCAGGGTCTTTAATCTGCTGCTGCCACCCTAAGACCTTGAATCTTTAACTACAAGCTCAAGGGAAGCTCCATGTCCTTAAATGTGTGTTTACTGGATTCTGCTGCCCCATCTGTGACAAGCCTCCTGCCCCACGTGCAACGCTTTAAGACGGCACACGGGGCAAGAAAAGCACTCTTAGGAACGTAAAGGGAAGAACAAATGTTGTGAAGATGCCTATTTTACAAGGGGAAGCCTGAGGGAGAAGGGATCACTCCGTTTTGAGAAGGGGGAGAGATCGATTTCCATGATTTTAATTGGGCAGCCGTGGAAACAGTTGTGCTAGATGAACGTATGGAAGAACAGACTGCATACGAGCAGATGTAATCAGTTCCTGTGTCATAACTTAGCAGGTTTAGACAGCTGGAAAACCCACATCCAGTGTGAAAAAACCCCATTTTGGAGCAGCAGCAGAATGCAACGATGAAAAGCAGTTGCCCAAACCGTTCCAGACAGTGGGATTTCATGGGTTAGTGAGCATTGATTCACTCTCCCCCCTGCGGTCAGCAAATCGGGCCACGCAGCCAGCCCAGCTGAGCGCCAGGATGGTTTGAATTGCGCTCTGACAGCGTTTCTCATTGTCCAAGGCTTTACCCTCAGCTCAAAGCAGCGTGTGGATGGGAGCAGCAGCCCTGCCTGGCTCCACACCTACCGCACTGCACGATGCTCCTGAAGCGGATGTCACAGGCCGGGCCGATGCCATGCACCACAAAAACCAGGTGGTCGATCTGCAGAGGTTCTCCTGTGGGTAGAAAGAGGTCGGAGCTCAGCCCTAGAGACCGAGGCTCGGAAAGGAACTGACCCAGTGACCCCACCTGCAGCTCTGACGGGCACCAGGTGGGGCAACATTCTGTTCTCTACTTCCCACACACTTTGGTTTGCATAAGCACTTTCCCAAGTGGAAAATGAAGGGGTTAGACAGGAAGACGTGCCTGTCCTCACTGCCAGGTTAGCTCGCAGAGCTGGGTCACGGCTGCAGAGCAGGGAAAGGGTGAGCAGCAGGCAGCCACCAGCCTGCAGCTGAGAGCTGTGCTCCCTTCGTGCTTTGGATAACTGTAAGGGAGGCTCCACGTTTACCCCACGCTCACCGTTGGGGATCTCAGCGGCGATGTTCTCCACTCCTCTCTTCACAGTCCTTGGTCGCCCTTGTTCTGTAGGAGTTGAGCCCCAGTCGTCGGAGGTGGCAACGGGGTGGTAGTGAACCATCAGCTGTGAGCAAGGAGGGCTGATCACTGTGCTGCACTGGGTGCTGGAGCCAAGAGCATCACCGGGCTCCCAGGAAGGCTGGCGAGAGGCATTGATGGCCAAAGGCTATCCCTGCCCGGCCACCAGGCTCTGCTCACCTTGGGGTTGTGCAAAATGATGACTTCTCTGCTTGGGGATTCCAACTTCTTCTTCCACTCGTCCAAGGTTACAGCAATCATGTACGCTTCCTGAGGAAGAGAATGTCCTCTCTGAGTCAGCTGAGGGTATTCCTATGAATATTCAACCACTTGAGACCTTTCCCACCCATTTCAAGTGCTGCTTTGTGAAAGAGGCATAGAAATCATCCAGGCCCAAACTGGTGAGGCCGCAGGATTCTCTCTGTAGCGCCTGCTAAAGTTTCTAAAAAGCCACTGTTGTGAATAGAAGCAGAAAGCTTCCCCACCACAGCCATGTATTTTCATACATTAGAATACAGATGACTGTAATCACAGCAGAAAAAGCCCCCAGCCTTTACAGCAGGGACCAGCAAGCATTCTGTGGGTCCCTGCAGCAGGAAGAACTGTTTCTTGCATTTACAAAGCTGTGAGCAGAGTGAGGGTGGCTGTGCTACGACAGCAAGAACCGAATTGTGGTGCCAGGCAGGGTCAGGGGGAAACACAGAACAAAGACAGCGGGGAGAGGCTGCAGGATGGGCCAGAGCTGCATGGCTGGCAAAGAACAACCGGGCATTGAGCAGAACGCTCTGGGAATGGGGAGGAAGGGGAAGCAGAGGAGTATTTAGTTATGTTAATCAGCCGTGAAAACGCCAAAGCCTCTTGTGAGTTCGTGTCCTCAGGTGCAACAGCAGCGCAGATGGAGTTTGGGATGTCAGGGCAGCATTTGGCAGCGAGAAGCAGAGCTTGTTGGTAAGCTGTGTGCTCCCGGGATGTGTTTACCTCCAGTTCCTGGCTGAAGCTCTCTGAGTAGGGGACGTATTTGTTGTCCTTGTCCCCTTTGTAGAACCAGGTGCAGCGGCGCACCTCGGACACCTCCTCCTCCCAGAACACCGCCAGGCGCTGCCTCTGCTTCAGGTGCACGTCGTACCTCCCGCCCGACGTCGGCACCACCACGTCTCCTTTATCCCTCCCTGAAGACCACAATGAATCGTGTGAGGGCCAAAAAGTTGAGCTGTGTGCTGAACCAGAGACAGGAGACTGCAGCAGCTCTGCGGGTGCGCACCGTGAAAGAGCAGCAGCAGCAGCAACCACCAGTGCTGCCCTTACAGCCTGCGGGGAGATGCCCAAACATCCCCAGGGCAGCAGGTGAGAGGAAAGCACTCAGCTGTAAGCAGCCACCTCCCTTCCAGCTTTGGGCACAGCCTTTCAGGGGCTCTCCCTGCCTGTGCTGAGGTGGCAACGTGTGAAACTGTGGCCCTGGGATCCTGGAGGGCTGCAGATCTCCACGTTCAAAGCGTTCCCCTCCAGAACCCAGAGCTCTGCACGCCCTGCCCGTGCTGTGAAGCAGCAGTGTCTCCTCGGACAGATCTCCCCACTGCCATTTCTGCCCTCCTGCTCATGTTTTTGTCCCCCCTTCAAAGGTGCTTCGCACCACAACGATGTATAATTAACAGCACGTGCCAAATTAACGAGGCCGGACCTTACGTTCCCTCCTCCATCCTCACTGTCCGTTCACTTACAGCTCCAGCACTGGATGCGCTGCCACCAAACACAAGTCTCAATTACAAATTCCAAAGGGGGAATGTGGCAACCCAGGCAGGAGCTGTGGGCTTTCCCTGTGCATCACCACCCTGCTTCCCTCGGGCACGCACCTGATGCTTCCCATCGACCTCACCAGGCCGGTTCCCCATCACGCATGCAGGGGATGAGGTGTTTACAGCAGAAAGCTATCGAGGCACAGCCCTGACAGCTGAAGGCAATGGCTGCAGCACCGTCACCGTGTCGGATCGCACTGGCTGCACTCAGGCTGCGATGGAGGCAGCCGGGGCTGCGGACGGCTCCCTTACCTGCACCGTGAGCCTCTTCCAGCCGCTCCGAGTCCTGAACGCTGAACGGCAGCCACCGTTCCCTCCCGCCGGTCACCTTGCAGTAAAACCAATGCGGAGCGACCGCTTCGTACCCATTCCCCGCGTCCCACTCCGCAGCTTCGGCAGCGATCCGCGAGGGCACCGTCGGATTTTGCTCCTGAGCAGACATGACGCTCCTGGACAAAAGGAAAGGACGGACGGATGGACGGAGCCGCGGATCTCTACGCCCACCCTCACGCACTCCGCAACGGGAGGCCGCACTCCGCTTCCCCACCGCGTTTCCCTCCGCTCCCAAGGACGGACGCACCGACGTTGGCCGTTCACGCACGTCGGGTGCGTCCGCCGCTCCCGCACCGCGCGGCTCCCCGGCCCGAGCGGCGGCACGGCGCTGCTTCCCGGCCCCGCTCCCAGCCCGGCTCCTCGCTCCGCTCCGTTCTCCGCCCGCTCGGGGCGGCGCTTCTCCTCCCCGCCCCCGGCGCTGCCTCCGTTCCGCGTTGCGCCTGCTCGTGGGGCCGGGCGGGGATCGGGGCGGTGCACCCCGCACACGCGTGGATACGGCGGCCGTTTCACCCCGCGGGGGCCGCGATAACGCCTCGCCCGATTGCGGGGCCGGCGTTAATTAAAGGCCGGCGTTAATTAATTACAGCCCTGAGCCGGATGCGCGGTTCGGGGCTGCGGTCACTGCGGGGTTCTCCCGCGGCCGGGGACGCCGCCGTGCCCGTCGTGCTTTTTGAGCAGCTTACCATCACTCCCTTCCCCACCCTCAGCCAACCCTTCCCGCAGCGGAGGCTCAGCGCCGGAAGAGGAAGCATTGCAAAGGAATTCGTTACCTGGATGAGATTGACACTAAAACGCCCCAAAAGAGCCCCCCGTGCCCCCCAGTACCGTGTACGCACGGCACAGCTTTTCCTACAGTCAGGTATCAGATACCCTTCCTACCACATCGCTGCAATAGGAAACCTTTGCCCCGACCCACGGAGCGCTGCCGACGCGGCAGTTCGTGCGCAGCTCTTCTGCTCTGCCTGCCCGCATTGCGGTGTCACCGCTCCAAGGTAACCGGGGCTGCTCCACGTGTCTCCCTGCACGGCTAGAACCCACCGACCTCTTTATCTGACAGCGAGCCTTGGAGCAAACAGGGTGCAAGGAGATGATGTGGGTTTGTTCCCGGTGTGATCCTGGCTGCTGGAAATGAAACGAATGTCAGAAAATAGTTTCAACCAGCTCCTCAGATTCTAAAGCGACCAAATCTTCTGCCTTCACAGCCCTGGAAGCAGGGACTGCCCGTGGAAGCAGCAGCACTGTCAGCCCCTTGTGGCATCTGGACCTGGTGATGCTCACACAGCAGACAACAGGGGATGCTGCAGGGCCGACTGCAGCCATCTCACATCTGCTCCCCTTGGCTGCAGCGTGACTCACACGGACCAGCTTTTGCAACAGCAAATTCCAGTCCTCGTTCAGATCCTACCCAAAAGGAATGAGCAGCTTTGTGCCAACAGCTGTGCTGGTCCGATAGAAAACAAGCAGGGTAACGGAGGAAGAAATTGGCTTTGGTAATTCCTTGGCAATTCCAGCTCCTTCCCACCCCCCAGGGATGCATCTGACTGCTGCCTGTGACCTCAGCCACATCCAAAGAGCTGCAAAGGTCAATCCGTGCGTGCTCTCCATCACTGCCCTGAGGGTGGCAGCCAAGAGTAAATCCCTAAACAGCAGCCAGCAGTCCTGCAGTGGGGCTGCAGCACTCAGAGCCCCCCAGCAGCACCCAACGAGGGCTGCATGTGCCACATTCATCCCTAAACTCCACCTATTGCTGCAGCCTGGCTGGGCTCTGCCTGCAGGGCAGCTCTAAGCTGAGCAAACTGCACAAAACTTCCCTTTAAAAGAAGAAGGAAAAAAAAAACCAAAACAAAACAAGGAGACTTTGAGAAACTTAATTACAAAATAACATTTAAAAGTCATCAGGGTTTATTATCTCATTACACACAGCAATGATTCGCTCAACGTGTTGTAACCAGAAGATTAACAGTAGGCATTAATTAAAAAGTGGATTCGACCCACGCGACCTGAAAAGCATTTCTGCACCTCCCATTGACCAGGGCTGCGCTGCTGCACGGCTCTGCCTGCACCTCTCTTTTTTCCAGGTGAAGAATTCACAGTTCCAGGCTGTGTTTCCACATCCACGTGGCATCACAAGGGACAGCTTCACACCAGCTGCTGTCTGCAGCACATCATCATCAGCAGCAGAGCTACAGGAACGCACTGGAAACAAAAAGAACCCTGGGGTGACACACAGCAGCGAGGGGTCTGAGGCTGAAAGCAGTGATGGACAACCAAGAGCCTTCATTTATGGCTGCAATGTGACGAATGTGACGAGTGCTGCAGTACCGTGGATTGGGCCTGGTTTGGGGAACTTTGTGCAGTGAATTTTCTTCTTGCTGAGTGAAGGATGCAGACCCCCAGGAGGCCCAGCAACGCTGAGCACCTCAGGTTGGTGCTGCTTCTTCACGTCCCAGAACAAACAACTCGGTTTGCTGCTTTCATCCTCTCTTAATTGGTCCACTGCCGAGCTGTTGGTTGGGGCTGGGCTTTCCTGTGGGTTTGGGTTGGTTGTTTTCTTCTTTTCAATCAGGACTTATTGCTTTTTCATTGTCAGTAGTGCTTAGCAGAAAGAGCTGAGATGTGGAAAAACTCTTTGGAACCTCCACAACAGGCTGCGTTGTGGCTGATACGCTTTCACAATCCCTTCCTTTCCAGCTTTTCCAGTATGGCCTGAATTCTGTGGACAGCTTCCTTCCTGGCCTGCCGGACGCCGTCCTGCCCACCAGTCTCAATGGAATCCAGTTCTAACAGCAGCTTGGTCAGCATCTCCTCCAGAAGCCGGTAGGATTTATCTGTCTTTTTTCCTACAAATTCATCCACCTCTTGTTCTAGCTGTTCTGCCTGCTCTGTGACGTGTAGGATTCTCTGAATCTCTGGCTGGATGGCTGCAGAATTCATTGAAGTGTGGTTGCCAGCTTTGCAGCCTGCCTCCTGGTTTCCAACCAACCGCCTCCGCGTTGTGCTGTTGTACATTTGAGGCTGTGCGCTGTACTGCACCTTGGGGTTGGATGGAGAGGACTTGGCGTGGAGCAGAGTGGGTGGTTTGTGGTCATTCACTGTCCCAGAGTGCTGGTGATTGCCCTCAGAATAGTAGCTGTGTTGGTTTGCAATTTGCTCGGGTTTGTCGTAAGCAGGTTCCTACAATCAGAGGAGAAAAAAAACCAAAATCTGCGTTACAGAGGCTTTAGATGGGATCCACCCCACTTCAAGACCTGCCCCTCAAGGTCTGCTATCAGTGCTTTCTGGAATTACAGTCCTGACATTTTGCTGGCAGTACTCAGAACTGCCGCTTTGTTTCTGCCTCCTGGGAGCTGACTCTGCTTGTAGAAAGGAGCACTGAGGAGCTGCTTGCGTGTTTTGGGAAAGGCAGCACGATCTGAGCTCTGGTTGCAACCAGAACCTGTGTGTCGGAACCATCAGAGCATCACTGTACCTTTGAGTCCCACGCAGGAGGATGAGATGCAGCCCCACTGCCAGTCCAGGGCGGTTGTGATTCGGTGAGGAATGGGTTCCCATGTGCTGGAGCTGTGGGCCATGCATACTGTGGCTGCACCCCATAGGTGGGGGGAGCCCAAGCCTCCTCCTGTGCCCTGGGCTGTGGGTTGGCCCCAGCGCTGTGGTCTCCATATGGATATTGTGGAACAGGCATCCCTGGAGTCTGCGGGGATAAGGGGGACAGGTGTTAATCCCAAGTCACTCCCAGCACCACTGTTCTGTGCCAGACAGCTCTGGGAAGAACCCCAGCACTGGGATTGCTGCCTGCTTTCTGTTCTACAGCCCACGATCTCAGAGCTCCCTGCAGAAAGGGGCAAGTCCAAGTTTTTACAAGAGCTTGCAGAGCGAACCGGTTGGGTTTAGAAACCATTTGGACCCCACAGAGGTGTGCACTGCAGGTTCTTCCTCTGTGGGGCAGCACGGGAGCTGTGCCATGCAAACCCCAAATGCTGCACAGTGGTGTCTCATGGTGTCTCACCTGAGGTGGGGAGTATCCAGCAGGCTGCTGCCTGCGCTGTGAGCAGCCCTCTGCAGGGCAGTCCTGTGTTCCACAGCCCCACGGAGGGGCAGGAGGGGGGGGTCGGTACGGGGCTGTGCTGTCAGTGCTGTAGGATGGCCCCGAGCAGCTGTAGGTTCGTGTCTGTGGCAATGCTGTGTAATGCGGAGCGGCCGGAGGGTACGGGGCGGTGTAGGATCCGTTGGTGTAGGGAGAATCCATGCCCTGGGAAGGAGAAAAGGGAGAAAACGGAGGGAAAACGTGTTGGGATGCACGTTAGGAGGTTTAGTTGGGTTCTGTCAGTCCCTGAGTGTGGCTGATGGGCGGGAGAAACACCCCAGGAAAGTTCATGTCCTTTTCCAACCTACAAACGATGCGAGGAGGTGAGGTTTTCCAACCCCCAAACCCGAGCTGCAGGGATTCCAGCGCCGAGCTGCAGCCACCGCATGAAATCGGGGCTTTGAAACGTTTGTATGAAGGGAGACTGCATCGCAAGCAGCGGGGTTTTATGGCACAGCAGCCTTCAACGCGCATCCCACGGCATGGAAACAACGCGCAGCTCGGTTCGGGACGGAGCAGAACGGGAGGGAGGTGGAGCTGGACCCGCAACCCCCCGCCCCGCATACCGACCTGCCGCTCCTGCGCGTCCGCTCCGCCGGGAAAACGCCCGAAGCCGAACGCTCGGTGCTGCGCGGGGTTCCAATAGCCGGGACCCGGCGGCTCCTGTAGAGAAAACGCCGTTACGCGGTGCGCTCGACCCGAGCAGCGGTGTAACGGGCCGTGCTCGGCTCCACCCGTCCCTACCTGCCCGCCCGCCGGGCCCCAGGGCGCGGTACGGCCGCGGGGCTCCATGTCCGCCTCCCGGCACGGCCGAGACAACCCCGCAGCGCGACGAATGGATGGAAAGCCCCCAAGAAGCGACCAATAGGATGCGAGGACCCCGGGGCTCAACCAATGGGAGGCCGTTCTGCGCTCACTACCGGCGCTGTTTTTAAAGGGGCAGAGCACTTTTCAGCGCCGCCTTTATCCGCCCGGTGCGGGGCGGTTCCGCGGTGCGCGGCGGCGCTTCCGCCACCATGAACTACATGCCGGGTACGGCCAGCCTCATCCAGGACATCGACAGTGAGTGCGACCGCGGTTCCGTTGTACTGCAGGGAGCCAAGGGTAAAACCGTCCGGGGCGCGGTTTTACCTTTCGTTCCCTGGGTTGATCCCTTCCCCGTTTCCCGCAGAGAAACACCTGGTCCTGCTGCGGGACGGTCGGACGCTGATCGGCTTCCTACGCAGCATCGATCAGTTCGGTACGTTGCGGGAGAGGGGGAGGGGAGGAAGGGGAGCAGCACCGGGAGCGGAGCTCTGATGGAACCCACGTGGCCGTGCATAGCGATAGGAGCGCAGTTTACGATCCCCCCCCCATCCCGTGTTATGATCTCAACTCGGGGCGGCACCGTCTGAGCACATCCTCCCCCCTCAGTGCCTGGGGACAGCACTTGTGCCTACGGCTGAGCCCCTCGATCCCTTACCCCGCACCCCACAGCACCGGGGATGCCTTCATCAGCCCTGGGTTGGGGCTGTTTTGGGGTCCCGTTTTGGGGCTGGAAGGGCTGCAGGCTTTGGGGATGGTGGGGTTTAGAGGATGCTCAACATATGAGGCGCGTGGTCATGCAGTCCAAGAGCTGCTCCCCATGCTTTGGGCCGTGGTTTGATTCAGGTGAGGTGCTCTGTTTGGTGAAAAAGCAGTTAAAAATAGGATGGGGCTTTTCTTTGTTTGTTTTGTTTTTAATTGCCACAGCAAATCTGGTGCTGCATCAAACCGTGGAGCGCATTCACGTGGGCAAGAAGTATGGAGACATCCCTCGAGGGATCTTTGTCGTGAGAGGAGAGAACGTGGTGCTGCTGGGGGAGATCGTGAGTGAACCCCGTGCCCTGCAGCCCCACAGCCTGCAGCTCTGCTCACACAACTCCTTGCTTGCAGGACCTGGAAAAAGAGAGCGACACGCTGCTGCAGCAGGTATCCATCGAGGAGATCCTGGAGGAGCAGCGAGTGGAGCTGCAGGCCAAGCAGGAATCAGAGAAGCTGAAGGTGCAGGCGTTGAAGGAACGTGGCCTGGTGGTGCCCAGGGCTGACACGTTGGATGAGTACTGATGGGATGGGAGCGACTGCCCACGGAACTCAGTTCTGTGCTGCGTGGTGCAGGCACTGAAATCGTGGTTTCTGTTCCTCCTTGAGGAAAAGGAGGAGAGATGACATCGGGGCGCCCTCGGAGGTAACCGGACGCTCCGGGGTGCATGGCAGTTTCTGTTCAGAGATGAACACCTCTGTTCTTTTTTTGGTTTGTGTCTTCTGGCTCCTCGCGTGGAGCTGAATGAGAGCTTCCCTTCACCTGTAAATAAATCCCTGACCTCAGCAGCAACAGCTTTGCCTGTGTTTGGGGTGTTGCTCTGTGTGATGCTGGGCACAGCGGGACTCTCCAGGACACAGTGAGGTCCCCGTGGGACAGCTCAGGTGCTGTGCCTCCTCCCCTGTTCAGCCCTGTTCACCCAGGTGCAGCTGTTTGCCTACAGCTGTGCCCACTAATCAGCTAATTACCTGCTGAGTTGCTCCCAAACAGCAGAGCTGCCTCACCTGGCTGTCCCTGCTGCCCCCCTCACCCTCCTGCAGCACCTCCAGACTTGAGGGAGGACCACGTGTGTGGCTCAGACAAGTAGGAGCTGAACTGGGTGCTGCGAGCTCCAGCACTTGGAGGCAAGGCAGGAAAAAAGAGAGCTTGAGGGCCTTTGTTGCCACACGTTCTCTGCTCTCTGATGTTGTCGGGCTCCCATTGGTGTCTGTTTCTGCATCGGTGCTGCCTTTCAGCCCATGTTATCTTATCACCTGCTCCCTGCGAGGGGGGGGGGGGGGGGGGCGGTGGGTTGATCTCTGCTCTCTAAATAGCATCAAAGCAGCCTTGGGACAGTGGGGGGGCACCTCAGGGCCCCTGCACAGGGAGGGGACATGGCTTCAGCCTCCCCCCTGCTGGAACCTCTCCTGGAGACTGAGATGTGGAATGGGGGTAGAAAAGGGAATTGTCCTGGTGGCTCAGGGCGCTGTGTGAGCAGAGGTGAGCGATGTGTGAGGTGCAGGCAGTGCATTGAGATGCTGAATGTCAAAAGGGATGTGAGGTTTGACATTCAGAGCTCTGGAGTGGGGCTGGGACCCCTCCTTTCTTGCAGCTCCTGGGCATGGTGGTGTTGTGGGACACCTGAGGAGGTGCTGATGTGACACTGTGCAGTCGGTGAGCATTCAGGGGCACCTCAGTTTTGCAGGTATCCCTAAGTTTTGCCCTAGAATAAAGGCACCCTGGAGCTGAAGGGGTGGCTCTGTGAGGGAGCAGTTCAGTTCCTCTCAAAAACAAGTGCATGTCCTTGCTCCGAGGCCGTGTGTTCGGGGCTGCTGCTCCATTAGGATAACAGCAGTGCAGAGCTGGAAATCTCTGAGCTGGGAAGGCTGTCTGCATTGCCAGGGCAGCAATCTGGGAAGGAGATGCTCAGCTGCTGCCTTCCCGTGGTCCCTCCATACCCCGTCCCATTGCAGGTGAGATGTGAGATGTGCTCAGTCTGATTGGAGAGGATCCATCCAGATCCCTCCTGGAGGTGTGGGCAGGAGCAGTGCAGCCATTCCCAGGTACAGGTAGGGCTGAGCACCACAGGGCTGTGCTGCAGTTCCCCGTGTGCCCTCAGCACCACAGTGAGTGGGTGACCTCCCCCCCCTCACCAAACTGTTGCGACAGCAAAGAGGAGCAAGGTCAGCATCCCCGCAGCAGAGTGCAGGAGCTGACGTCAAAGGAAGCAGCTGTGATTCACAGCTTCTGGGGAGCACTCAGTGCTGGGGCTGTAACTCATCCCACAGATGTCATTTCAGCCTTGAACATTATCACTGCTCTTGCTCCACCCCCAGGAGATGTGGGGCTGCCCCCTCAGTGCAGCAGAGCGTGGCTGGGACCCCCACCCCACAGCCTCCCTCTGCGCTTTGCAGCCCTGCTCTGCATGCACAACCCTCAGCTGCAGCTCCATGCAAGCTGTCTACAAAGTTCTCTCAGCCTCACTACGTGCACAGAGCATCCATGTGCATTCCCCACGTGCCGTGCAGCAGCAGAGGGGGACAGCAGAGTTTGCCCCACATATCTGGGCAGCAGCAGCTGCGTAAGGATGTGCGCATGCGCTGCTGCTGGCACCCACTGTGACCCACAGCCCCCAGCAGATGCATGGGGAGACGGAGCTGCCCTTGGCCTGCAGGGCACTGCCGTAAGTGATGGCCCTTATCTCGGTGCTGACAAGCCAGCATCCTTCAGCTGGTGGATTTAAGGCCCAGCCTTGGGGCTGAGGCACAGCAGTATTTGCAGCAGTCACCAGAACTGAGCTCCACAGCGCTGCAGAGATGCTGCCTGCCACCTTCAAGCTGTGTGCTGCCATCTCCTACCAACACCTGCGCAACGTGACCGGTGAGAGGCCCGCGCCACGCGTTTTGCTGTCTGCACGACTCTTTTCTGCTCTACTTCTGGACTGGGGGATGGAGGCTGTGTGATGTTTCCAGTGGGGCTGCAGCTCTGGAGCAGGCAGTCACTCTTCAGCTGCTCTCAGGCTGTTGCATGCTCTCCATGTGGTGCTTGGAACAAAGCCTGAGCAGCACGGATCCGCTCCCATCCTCCAGTGTTGCGATGGGAGGAAGCTTCTCTCCCAGGGACTTCAGCAGCGGGGCTGGGTGCAAGCAAACAAGCAAGACTTTTCCAACCTGACACCTCAGGGCTGTGTTGTGATTTGCTCTCTGCCCTCAGGGCTGCGCAGACAGGCTGCAGTGGCCATCAGCCAGGAGCTCAGCAAGCTGTCGTGCCGCAGCGCGGGGCCCAGCACGTGGATCAGCCAGGTCCGCAGGCGAAGCTCTCTGCTCAGTAAGTGCCGCTTTCCTGGGATCTGCCTCCTCCAGGTCGGTGCTTGGGAGGAAATCTGCACGTGGTGCTGTGAGCTTTGCTAATGGAAATGCAGCGGGTGGTGGGAACTGAGCTCCAGGCCGAGTCGTGGGGCACGGAGAGGTTGGTTTGATAGAGCTGGCGGGTATTGTGATGTGTCAGCGCTCTTATTCCTGCTTCTGCCTGCTCTCTCTCAGGCTCCAGGCTGGAGGAGAAGCCCTTCAGCGAGATGGAGATGTCCTACATCAAACAAGGAGAGGAAGCCCTGCAGAAATCACTCAGCATCCTCGGGGATCAGGAGGGCTGGAAGACGGAGACGGTGGTGGTGAGCCCTCCTGTGGCCGCGCAGCGATGCGGTGGCTTTCGTGTGAGTATCTGCGGTGCTGATCTGCCTTTCCCCCGTCAGGACAACGGAGACAAAGTGCTGAGCAAAGTGCTGCCGGACGTGGGCAAGGTGTTCCGACTGGAGGTGGTGGTGGATCAGCCCCTGGATGCTGTGTACAGTGAGCTGGTGGACAACATGGAGCAGATGGGAGACTGGAATCCCAGCGTCCAAGAGGTGAAGGTAGGAGGAAAACGGGGTGTTCATGGGGACAGCAGAATCCTGCTGTGCTGCTTGATGCACGTTCACACGGCTCTGTGTGCTGCCACAACAGCCAAAGAGTGGCTGTGAGCATTGCTGCAGGCACAGGGGTTTTTCCCTCCCGTTCCTTGGGGGGAAATCAGATGCACAGACACGATGCCACGAGGGGGATTTTTTGCAGCATGTCGTTGTTTGAACTGCTCAGATCCTCCAGAAGGTTGGGAAGGACACCCTGATAACCCACGAGACAGCAGCTGCTGTACCTGGGAACATCGTTGGGCCTCGGGATTTTGTGAGTGTGAGGTGCTCCCGACGCCGAGGCTCCACCTGCGTGCTGGCAGGGATGTCCACCAAGCACGGAGCCATGCCCGAGCAGCAGGGATTTATCAGGTAATTAATTACCACCTGGGGTGTTTAATGAACTCTGAATTCACACCTCGGCTTTCAGCAGGGGCTCGGGGTTGGGATGACGTTTCAAAGCGGTCAGTTTGCGTTTTGGGAAGGGAGAAGTTGTTGTGAAGGAGCTCCAAGTGCTCTGGCAATGTCAGCTTTTGCTGTCTGACACGGGCACTCCTGTCCTCCTAACAGAGCTGAGAATGGCCCCACATGCATGGTGCTGCGCCCGCTGGCTGGCAGTCCCTCTCAGACCAAGTTAACGTGGCTTCTTAGCATTGACCTGAAGGTAAATCCTGCATTGAACTGCTTCAAAGGCAAGGCAGTTGTGCCTGAGGCACTGATGGGCTGCTTGTTCCTCTGCAGGGCTGGCTGCCAAAGACCATCATCAACCAGGTCCTGTCTCAGACCCAGGTGGATTTTGCCAAGCACCTCCGGCAGCGCATGGCGCGGGCTGCTGAGTGCACAGGCTGCCACTGAGAGCTTCGTTCAGGGCTGACAGCTGGGATCTCATCCCTAGATAAGTCAGATACAACTCAATTCTGGCCTGTGCTAACAAGACAGGCCTTTAATAGTAGGCAGTAGTAATAAAGCTTAACTAATTAGCCAGGAGCCTGATTCAGAAGGCAGTGCCAGCAGCGAGCGGATGCCGTACCTGAAGCAGCACGTTGTTGCTGGGACCTCCCAGCTAATTACTTGAAGCTTTATTAGTCTGCAGTAAAAAGGCCTTGGCTAATTAGTTATTAGGGAAGAGTCCCAGGAGCCTCGTTCAGAAGGCAGGGCCAGGCAGTGCTGCTCCGTGTGCAGAACACAGGGCTTAGCCTCAAATGCATTCCCCTCCTTTCCCCTAGCAAAGCAGCTCTAAGTTATTTGATGTGATTTTGCACAGGAAGATTATTTATTCAAAGTTCTGCACTGATTGTCATTAGCAGGAGTCCCTGGGAAACTCGTCATTGCTTCCATAGACAGCTTCAGATTTCAAGTAGGTACTTTAAGGTTGCAGGTTATGAAGGGGGAACTGCGATACTTCAACAAAAAGCACAAGACAAAAACGAGGGAAGAGTTTAAAAGAAGAGTTTATGGTTCAACTGGCTGCCAGTTTATGTAAAAAACAAAAGAAAAACAAAAAAATCCAGCTTGGGCAGAAGCCCAAATTTCAGTCTTACATGCAGTTGTCTCGTTACAACACAATCCTGGATGGAAACTGTTGAGATTTAGCCAAGCACAGCTAAGCAGAAGTGCCAGAGTTGCTTCTGCAGGGATGGAGACAGCAGGTGGGTGCAACCACACACCTGGTCCCACTGAACGACGACTGGTGTGAGTCAGATGGGAAATGATCTCAACACAGTCGTTGCTTCTTCAGCTAGCCACACTGTGAGCTCTTGGAGCCTCGCAGAGATGCTCACAAACAGCACAATACACACTAGGACAGCATTGACTTGGACTCAGCACAGTGGCACTGCATGAATCTCCAGCACGCACTGCAGCTGCTGCCCAGAGCTGCGTTGGCTTCGTGTTTGTTCGTTATGGGTTGTTCTGAGCTGCACCTTCCTCCAGAATAAAATCCACCTGGGTTGAGTCGCTGCCTTATTGTGCTGCCCCTGCTTGCTTCAAGGCTCCCAGGGGGGGCTTCGTCTTCCATCCACTTCTGTCTCCACGTGATACAGGACGTCTGCCAGCGTGTGTTCCACTACAGCTCCCCAGCCCATGTCGCTCATCTACAAAGGGAGCAGAAGGCCAAGACAAAAACACCTTTGCTTAAACAAAGCCAGGTTTAACCACCAAGTTTTTTTCTCATCCTTGTTCTGCTTTTCTCTTGCTATTGCCTCTCCCAGATTTTTAAATGCATTCCTTCTGGCTGCACCATCAAGCTGTGAGTAGAAGCGACGATGCTAAGTGCAGCCCTGCTGTAAATCTCCCCTCCCAGCACTGAATTCCCAGTCCCCTTCTGTTGAAATGCTGTGCTGTGAGGTGAGGGAGATGCGTGCTGTTACTTACGGGGCGGTAGGTGACATCTCTGGGGGGGTACTTGAAATATGGCCCAAAGTTGATAGAAACCTACAGAGAACATTTATGTGTCAGTACAAAGCTGGATAACTTGGCTCGCTTTATTTCCCCCCCCCAATTCTTCAACCCTGACCCTCTTACACTCCTGAGCATAACTGCACCCTGCACAGATACCTGTAAATATACATCTCTGCATTAAAGGACAGCATTAATTAGGAGCTTGATGAGGTTAAATAACACAAGGTGAATAAATGCATTGTTCTGGGCTGCCTCCACCACCATAAAACTCTGCCTCTCCTTTCTGCTCACTTCACTGGGCTTGCTTGGCCCGTTCCCAGCACGCACACACTCTGCATCACCAGAACTGTGGCTGGACTCAGGCATTATCTTTGAAAGCATGTTGTTACCGTGCAGCCTTTGTACAAAGAAATAGCAGGGAAATAAACTCCTTCAAAAATGTCTTTAAAAGCGACTCCTTGGCTGGCGCCGTTCTTGAAGAATATGATCTGAAAAGGAAAAGGAGGAGTTTTGCAGTCGGTTCCTTGGCAAAAGGCAGCTTATCAGCAAGGGTAACGTGGAATAAACAGAGAGAGAAAGCAGCCCCAGCAGGTTCTCCACCCATACTGAGTGCTGCATCTGCACTGACCAGTGCTCAGCTCACCTGGCTTCCCGGCGCTTGTTTCAGGCTCTTTTCTGCTTTGTCCACAAAATCCTTCTCTTCAAAGTACAAATAGCTTTTAAATTTGATCAAAGCCTGAAATGTATCAAGAAACCATTACTTCAGAAATGGGGACATGTCACAGAATGGCAAAGCTGCAGGGGCTCTGCCCTGCGACAGGCGTGCCTGATGGCTGACGGTGCCCCAAAGTGCTTCACCTTATCTTTGTAAGTGTCAGGCAGCGACTTGGCAGTCTCAGTATCTTCTGGAAGACTGATGTAAAAGCCCAGAACGTCCCCCTGTCCGTAGCCAGATGAATAATGCTTCCCTATGGACTGGTGAAACTTTGTTCCCTTTTTGCTGCGCCAGGAGTAACTGAATTTGTCGTAGCCCAGAGGTGCCTGGAGGTTCCCTGCAGAAACCAGCGTTTCCTCATGAACACACAAAGCATGGAACAGCCCAGAAGGTGTCCTTTCAGGTGCTGAGCTAACAGTTCCATTCAACACAGCACAAGTGTTAAGCAAAGCCAAGCACGTAACAGCAGAAAGATCTGCCAGCAGTGAAGTTCTGCACAGTTCAGAGGACCAAGAAAAGAGTTTATCCTAGGCAAGGGGCAAGTCAGACATCACTCAATAGTCTAGGTTGAAACTGCTGAAGACAAAAATAAAGTACCAACATCTGGTTAGAACCCAAGGCCTGCTAAAAATGTTTGGTGAAGTTATTTACCCAGTGGCTGCGACCAGCCTAATCTGGCAGCTGTGTCTGGGGGCATCTCATCCATGGAGATCTCAAAGTACCACGCTCCCTTCCTCACCCCGTGCGACGCTCGTACCATGGAATAGCCCTTCTCCCCGACAACAGTCAGCCTGTCATCTGAGATCTTCAGCTGAGGAGCTGCACGAGGGAAGAGGAAACACAACACAGCTCGTTTCTGACCCCTAAAACAGGCAGTGATACCAGAAGGAAGCGAATGTAAAGAAGTGGGTTTCACATTTTTCACCTCTTAAGCCAACGTTTGCAAGCTCAGCACACGGGGTTACAGGAGCTCCCCCAGGAAGAGCTGCAGCACGACCTGCACACCACCAGCAAACCCCATACCTCGGTCATGCAGCGCCAGGAGGACCCTTTCATACAGGCAGGCTCTGTACAGATCCCCAGGAATCGGTTTTCCTGCCCAGCAATCCAACTCCAGCTTCTCTGGGTCGGGTGCGTGGGGATCTGGCTCAGCCAAGATGTAACGATAGCCGTCCTTGTTGAAGGGGTGCTCCAAGGGGTAACCGTGGGGTGGCAAACGCTGCGCAGAGAACAACGGGTCACTGTGAAACACAAAAGCTACAGGTTGGCATCTCGCCGTGCCTACAGTTCGTTCATGACCTGACTGAGTCCCTGTGCTGCTCCAGCCCTCCTCACCTCCTGGTTTTCTTGGCTGTTCCAGTCGTTGAGCCGTCCTGCTGTTTGCGTTTCGCTCCCCTTCCTTTCCCGCTGCCTCCCGCGGCGATGCCTCCTTTCCAAGAGGAAAACAAACACCTCGTTCAGCAGCTGCTGAGCAGGGAGAGCCTGTGAGCATGGAATCTCCACAAGGACAGAAAAAGCCTCGTTCCCATCAGTTGGGTGGCTTACGGTTCCTCCTACACGGTTATGACCAAAAAGGACATCAGGGAGGATGAGAGCAGCGACCACCATCAGCTCTGTTCTTTCCCTTTGTGGAGATTCCAGTCACACAGCTTGGATTATTTCTGCAAAAAGCAGCAGAGAAAGCCACTCCACAGCACAGCACCCCCTGATTCTAAGCACAAAGTGTCACCCCAGTGACGTTGCTGTGCTGCAGAAACACCAGCACTGATAGCATCTTTCAATCTGCAAAAATAATGCACCCAAGTCGTATAAAACAGGACAGCAATGCAGGTGTTTCTCTTCAGTACGGTCCAAACTGGCACTGTGTCACCTCACACTGCAGCAGCTGATGTCCAGGATGAGCTGTGTGTCAAATCTCACCAAGCTAACACAGGTAGTGATGTTTTCATGGGTGAAATGGCACGTGCAGTTCATCGTGACACTATTTCATAGAGAAATCTCTTGATTTTCAGGAACTGTGGGGTCTGTGGGCACTGCAGACAAACACCTTCAGGAACCACGCAGAGTGCTGTAACTACAGCAAGCTTTTGCATCAGCAGCACCAGCCCTGTGCTGTGAGGGATTCAGACCTCGAAGGGACGCCACATTCTGCACGCACCTGACACCAGCTAAGCTGCACTCATGGACTTCAGCAAGAAATACTCAGCCTTTCCAGTTTCTCATCACTTCTTTATGCAAGGAATCCAAATATCACACCAGCTTCCAGCCCACGTTATGATTTAAAATAGCCAAAGATATCAGGTCAAATCTTACAGAGTGAAAGATCAACACAACTGGAAACAAAACCTTAAGCCAGTCGAGTGGGGGCAGAATATGATGCACTAAAAGCTTCTAACTGCTAAACGTTAGGAAGTGAAATGCTTGGTTTGCATCTTTCTCACAGTCACACCAGGACACACCTCTGATCTTTCATTCAATTCAAGCTTTTAACAGAACTGAGCACAAAAGCTTTCCAGAACACAGCAATACTTAAGTGTTAGAAGCTGAAAGGTAAACATTCACCTCCCAGAGAGGCTCCATCTGTAGGAACAGAAGTGGCACCACGCATGTGACAAACTTCCAGTAAAGAAAACAACAAGCAGTGCATGAAATGGAGACAGTGCAGCTTCAACCCTCTTGTTAAAAGCCCCAGCCACCTCCTGCTAGCTGTTCAGCAGGCTTCACACTCAATGGCACAGCCTTGGGCACAAAGAAACCTCATCAGCTCTTCAGTTTCCTACAGCAGGACGGCTGAGATTCATCTTAATGAGTGAGGGAAAGCTCTCAGCACAGCTTGCATAAAAATGGAACAGCAGCAAAATGCAAGCAGCAAGTTTGAGGAAAACGTATCACAAATATTTCCCCTGCCTCCCTGCAAGTCCCAGAGTGAGGAGAGCAGCAAAAGGGCAGCAAGATTGGCTGGGTGTGTTTGGAAAGCACGACACAGAACCTCAGCTCACAGTGGGTTTAACTGCTGCACGCCCAGCTACAGGGCTGGGGAAGTGCAGCTCTGCCCCAAACCCTGAGGGGGAAAAAAAACCATAAAGAGCCTCGTTAAAGAACTTGCCATTTAAATTGCCACTCGTGGACACAGCGTTGTTCTGCTTCTGGTTGTCGTATGCAGGACCAATATTGGCAAGATCCTGGAAAAGGAAAGAAAGAGAACTAAGCAGATGCACACAGACAAACAGCACCTCCTCGTGCTGCACTCCTCCTGGCACAACACTGGCTCATGTGATCTTGGATACTTTATTTCACACAGCATAAGACAGCAGCAAAACCAGCCTCCCTCCCCTCCTTCCCCCCCCCAGTCAGGATGCTCTCCTTCCATCTGCCATCACACACTTGGTCCAGAAGCCCAAACTTTGGGTAGTCTTCTTCAGGATCCTTACTCCCTGGGTCTGGGTGCTCCTTCACTAAGAACACATCTCTTTCTTTACACTGAAACAGAGAACAGAATGAGATCATATCAAGTTTTGTTAACAAATCTTCCCCATTTTGCTCTCCTTGAGCGTCAGGCAGCAGTTCTCACTCACAGAAAACCCCCCATGAACCCCAACTACCTACCATAGTTTTGACAATATTATTAGGCCAAGTCATCTTCCCTGGTCTCTGTCTCGTGGTCATGCACTCCCAGTATTTATCAATGAATGGAATAATATCCTGTTAAAAAAAAAAACCACCCAAATCCACTCTTAAATACAGAGTCTGAAAGCCAACATTTGGCTGAAGCTGCTCTTCAGTGAAAGCACAGCTGACTTGAACACGTGCTGTTATGACACAAGTACCTTATCTTTGGAGAACATGGTTTTTGGATGCTCATCTTGTGTCCTTGACTGCCACGTTAAGTTGGCCAGAGCACTAAGGCACATTTCCTTGAGATCTTCAAAACAAAGATAACCCAAAGCTCCAGTTGCATTCCACAGAGGAGATCAGCACACAAACACAAGCACAGCCTCACTGGACGCACAGCACCACTCCAAACCCAGCCTCATCCCACACCACACACAGCATTTCCACGCCTTATCAAGTCAGCAGCAGAGCAGCAATGTTTCAGACAGAGCTGCCCAATGCCTGCTGCTAACTTCTCTGGTCATTTCTGCCAGTTTCAGCTGACATCAGGCAACTTCACCTCATGCAAGGCTTCCATGAGTGAAACTCTGACACTTACTTGCTTGCTTCCTTAAGAAATACGTGTTCCCACTGTGGTGGCAAACGTTGCAATGGAAACTGTAGTTGGTCATGAAAGGCAAACAGGAGCTGGAAAAGAGTAGATCAGTTTGTAAGTTCTACTGCATGCCTTATGTGCTGCCTCAGGTAAGAAATGAATGCTCCCTCTCTCCATAAGTAACACTTTCTTGGGTCAGCAATCATTGCAGCAGATGAAGTTGATCGCTGGAAAACAGTAAGCTTCCTTCCTCCCCCACCTCTTTGCCTAACAACTGAATCTCACTGAGCAGCACGCAGTGCTCCAATGAGGGCAGAAGCACAGAGACCTCATTAACAACGTTCAAACTTTTGTCTTCATGGGGTTTTAGTGCCTGTGTGGCTGTCAGCTGCCTCCAGCAACTCTGAGCTCTGACAGGAGAGGGGAAAGGGCAACACCAACTGAAAGCTCTTCATGTGGTATGCAGGGAGGAGGTTTGGTTCTGAAAGAACTGACTGGGGGGCTGCCAATGCCAAACCATAGGGCCACTGTAGGGCAACCAAGGGCCACTTGAAGGCCACTAATGAGGGACCTGAAGGCTATTAACATCTAAAGGCCACTCAGGGGGCCACCAGTGGGGCACCTGAGGGCCACCCAAAGGCCACCAAAGAGGGACCTGGGGATCATCAACATCCAAGGGCCACTCAAGGAGCCATCGTAGGGCACCCAAGGGGCCACTGTAAGGTACCCAAGGGGCCACCTGAGGGCTACCAATGGGGCACTTGAGGGCCATCAACATCCAAGGGCCACACAAGAGGCCACCATAGGGCACCCAAGGGCCACCTGAGAGCCATCCAAAGGCCACCCATTGGCCACAACTGGGGCACCTGAGCATCACCAACATCCAAAGGCCACCCAAGGGGCCACCGTAGGGCACCCAAGGGCAACCTGAGAGCCTCCCAAAGGCCACCAAAGGAGCACCTAAGGGCCATCAACACCCAAAAGCCACACAAAGGGCCACCAGTGGGGCACCTGAGGGCCACCCGAGCCCCATGCCGCACACATACGTGGTGTCGATGCCAAAGGTGTCCGCCGTGAACCACTTGGTGCAGATGCCGCACTGCAGTTCGATCTCTCCCAGCTGCCTCCCGTTCTCCTCGTCCACCGACCCCGCCTGTGTGTCCATGGCCTCGGGGCCGTCAGGGGCGGCCTCCTGCGGGCGGCACAGCGCCGGTTATCGCCGTCAAAGCCTTCACCCCTCCGCCCCGCTATGTACCCCACGTACCATCGGGTCCTTTCCGCTCGCGGTTTCGGTCTCCACAGCGGCGGCAGCGGCGGCGGCGTCCCCCGGCGCGGCCTCCCCCCTGCAAGGCCACAAACGACTCCTCAGCGCGGCTCAACCCGGGCCGCAGCCTCCCAGCCCCGCGCTCGGTTCCCGCCCTACCCGCTCTCGGCGTCGGCTGCGCTCGGTTCGGGCGGGGCGGGCGGTTCAGAGGCCGGAGGCTCGGGAGCCGCCTCAGCGCTCTCCTCCGCGGGAGCCGCCATCGCCGCCGCCGCCGCCGCTGCCATTGCTGTGGACGTTCTCGCGAGAGTTGGTCCCAAGCTCTGCTCTCGCGAGATTCCCGGTTTCATGGTCCCAAGAGCTGCTCTCGCGCGATTCTCGGCTTAAAAGGGCGATGCTCGCGGTGGGACCCACATCCCGAGGGCGGCGGCGCCCCCTACAGGCGGCCGGCGGAGAGAGGGAGGTGACGTCACCGCGTAAATGTGATGTCATCATGCTCAGCCATGACGTCACGCAGCCAGCCGGCCACCGGGCGGGGCTTCAGAGCCTCTAGGAGGTAGAGAAATGGGACGAAGAGCCAAAAAGATCACAAAGCGACTGAGGTTGGAAGGGACATCAGGGGGTGGCGTGGGACAACAACTCTGCTCAGCAAGAACACCTACAATGGGCTGCCCTGCTGTAACTGTTGTAGTTACAGTTACAACAGATGAAAACAGCCCAGAAGCAGCTGAAAAAAGGTGAATCACGTGTCGGAGATCATGAAGAAAAGAGCGGAGAAAGGCAGACCGGTCCCACATGGGCTCTGCGGGTTCTCCTGATCCCCTCTTCTCGAAATGACAGTGAAAGTGGAAGAGTCCAGAGGAGAGCATCAATAGCTTCTACAGCACAACGCCCCATAACTGCGTGGGGCTCTGCAGCCCCAGTGGAGATTATTTAGAGAAGGAAGGGAATGGACGGGATCGTTCATTCCTTGGTAGGAATCAATAGAAGCTCTGTGAGCCCCCCCAGGCTCCTTCCAGCGCCGGTGCTGCATGCAGGGGATAAAGCTGAGCAGATGAACTGTGCCAAAGAACACTGACTGCCTAACACTGGCCTAAATCCGAGAACAAAATACAGACTAGAAATCTGTTGGGGTTGGTAAACGTGGAGAAGATGGCCAGGCAGGGGATCTGCTCAGAAATACATAAATAAATAAGCACTACTAATAATGATTAACGAGTTTTTGTGCCATCGGATATAAGAGTGGGGCTGGGGGATCCCGGGAGGGACGGGAACGCGGGGAGGGGTGGGGAGGAGGAGGGATGGGGGGTGGATGGGGACGGGAAAAAGAGGGGAGGGGGCTCTCGGGGCGGCGCTCGGGTCCTCGCTACAAATAGCGAGCGGTGCTCGTCCCGGTGCAGCCATGCGGATCCCACTGCGCCCCTCGCTGCTGCTGCTGCTGCTTCTCTGCGGCTCCGTCCTGCTGCGCTCTGCACCTCCCCGCTGTCCCCCGCTGATGCTGCAGCTGCTCCGCGCTCCCCCCGCACCGCTCCGCGCAGCCTCCGCCACCGCGCTCAGCATCGCCCCGCACGGTGAGTCAGGCCGGATCCGGCGCTGTCCCTGCGCGTCCCTCTGCACTGGGACAGCGCTGTGCTCACACACCCCTGTCCCGGGACCGGCATCTCTCCCGATGCCTGAGCATCTCCTTCCCCGAGCTCCCCTACCGCGGGATCAGTGCTGTCCGTGAGCATCCCCGTTGCTGAGCATCCCTGTCCCGGGACTGGCGCTGTCCCTGCACATCCCTCTGCACTGGAACAGCACAGTCCCCATGCCTCCCTGTCTCAGGACAGGCACTGACCCCGAGCATCCCCATCCTGAGCATCCCCATCCCAGCCCCATGGGTGCTCACTGTCCCCACTTGCCTTCCAGGCTCCCTGCAGAACGGCTCCCGCTGGGCTTTTTCCTTTGATATGACATCCCTGTCTGGCAGCCAGGAGGTGAGCCTGGCTGAGCTGCGCATCCGTCCACATGCTCTGTCCTTGTCCTTGTCCCACAACATCACCATGGACATCTACCACAGCCCGCGGCAGCCGTGCCAAGGCACCAAGGAACTCTTCCTGGGCACCGTGGCTGGTGGTCCCTCATTCCATCAGGCCGGTTGGGCAGTGTTCAACATCACCAGCACCCTCAGAGCATGGCTGCACCAGGACCCAGCTCCTGATCCTGCAGCCGCCCCGCTCACTGCCCCACCGGACCCCCAAGAGACAACAGTGCCCCAGGAGCTGGCAGACAGCGTCCTGCTGCTCGTCTTCTCCAAGGACAAAGCACCTGGAGAGCACAGCCTCCTCAGGGCAGTGGAGAACTCCAAGCACGTCATGCGTGATGGTCCCAGGGATGTCGGCACTCGTCGGCACCGCCGCACCGGGAAGGAGAGGCAGAGGCTCAGGATGAACGATGCTCCTGCTGCCAGCCAGGGGGACGAGGCCAAGTCCCTGTGCAGGAGGGTGGACATGACGGTGGACTTTGAGCAGACGGGCTGGGGCAGCTGGATCGTCTACCCCAAAAAGTACAACGCCTACCGCTGCGAGGGGCTGTGCCCATCACCTGTGGATGAGAGCTTCAAGCCCACCAATCACGCTTACATGCAGGTAAGAGGGTCTTGCTGCCCCGTGTTCCCATCTTCCCTGCGCCCCACAGGGATGGGACCTGATGCCATGTCCCCATGTGTCCCGCAGAGCCTGCTGCAGCTCTACAAGCCCAACCAGGTGCCGTGCCCTGCCTGCTCCCCCGTCAGGATGAGCCCCCTCTCCATGCTGTACTACGAGAAGGGCGAGATCGTCGTCCGCCACCACGAGGATATGGTCATCGAGGAGTGCGGCTGCAACTGAGGGAGCTCAGCCCCCACTGCACCCAGCCCACAGCTCCTCTGCATCCCGCATGCCTGCAGGCCTGGCTGTGCTGGGATAGGAGCGGGGATGCAGCAGGGAACGTCCCTGCAGTGGCGGTGCTGCAGGGCACAGCCAGACCCGGGTGATGCATGGGGAAGTCACTGGGTGCTGCTCTGCAGGAGAAGTCTGAGCTCCCCGAGCTCCCTCCTGGTGAATGCTGTGCAGGGCTCTGTGTGTTGCACACCATGAACACCTCCTGGTGCTGGAGGATCTCCGAGGGACACCTGCAGCACTGATATCCATCCACTCTCAGCATCCAAAGAACTGAGATTTGCAGCGTTCTTCAAGGCTCTGGGCATTTTCTTTGATGTTTTCTATTGTACTTGGAATAAAATTCTATCCGATTTGTATTAAAAGTTTCCAGTAAAAGCCCAGGTGAGCTGGGTGCCCCTGGAAGCAGCATATCCGAGCCCCCCTGCCCTCCTTCCTGTCCCAGAGCCCCATCCATTGCCGTTCCCATCTGCACTGGGCTCACACTTTCCCAGCCCCTCGCTGGATCGGGTGGTAGAGAAAGAGCTGTGTTTGTACAACCCCTCAATAAATTATGTATTTAAGCAATAGTCGCTCAATCTGTGCCTCTTCCCACCTTCTCACCCCTCCTCTCTTCGCTGCTGGGTGGTCTTTGGGATGCACCCCCCGAGCTCTGGTGCGAGCAGCTGGGCAGCAAATGGGTATCCCGACCTCCCAGGAGCAATGCACAATCGCAGCCCCCCCAGTGCTCTGCCACGAGGCACAGCCTCAGGCATGGGGTGGGGGGGGTCTGGGGGCTCCCTGCGTGCAGCACACGAAGGGCTTTTGTAGAACAAAGGGACCCTCAAACGATGCCACGGCAATAGATATCGCCCTGCCTGCTCCAGGAACGGGAAAACGAGGGTGATGAAGGAGGTGTTCCCACCCTGATCGCAGATTGCGGGTTGCTCAACAGCAAGCCGGGAAGCACCTGCAGCCTTTGAAGGGAAATGGAAGGCTGAGTGGATTTTCCATTTATTTACCCCTCGGAGATAAGGGCAGGGCTGCGCTTTCGCAGCCGGGAGGAGGGGGGAGGGGGGGGAGGATGGAATGGGGCTGAAACCGCTGCCCCGTCGGACCCCCTGCCCCGATTCCACATCTCCAATCCACATCCCGGCGGCGGGGAAACAAAGCTCGTCTGTGTCCCCTCTCCGTCATTAGAGGGTCATTTGCGGGAGCTGTTAAGCGCTGAGAGAGGGCGGCCGTGCTGCTAACCCCCGGCGGGGGGCACAAACCCGCGGTCTGGGCTCTGCGCTCCTCCTGCGATGGATCCCACATTATTTCACCCTTCCTTTGCATTCTAGGAATGCGCTCTTAGATGCTATTGCACCCAGAGGGCACGGAGCATCTCCCTGCCTTGCTTGCCAGCTCCCTGCCCTCTGCCCCTCGCAGCCCCTCGTGGCCCCCAGACCCTCTCCAGGAGCCGTATCTCCGACATCTCAGCCCCTCCATCACCTCTGTCTGAAAGGAGCCTCGGGTTCAAAAGTTATCGTGGGCAGACGGGCCCATGGGGGGGGGGGGGGAACACAGACTGGGATTGTGGCTGTTGGGGACATCAAAGCTGCGCAGTGACAGGTATCAGAGCTGGGGATGGGGATGGATCTGCGAGCTGCTCTGCCCAATACACATCAACTGCAGGACAGACTCAGGACAGTCAAACTGTAGGGGCAGCTGCAGCCCTTGGTGATGCTTGCTGTGGGGTCTTGCTCTCCAGGGAGCACGGCCAGGCTGTGCTGATGGGCCCAACACCAACTCTAACCTCAGACCCAACCCAGTGTCAACCCTTCAGCACTCCATCAGGGGCAACGCGTGGCAGGGATGGGTGGAGGGGATGCAGGAGCCCAATGGCTCCAACCCCGCCACAGCCCTCCCATGGGCACAGCTCTCTGTGGCACCGTCTCCTGCCCCATGTTTTGTACCCAGGTGCTGCTCTCTGCTCTGCAGAGCCCAAGGCTGCATGCGCCCCAGGAGGCGATGATAAGCGCAGTTTATTTTGGATGCACGGGGAAAGAAGGAGTAAGAACAAACAGATGGAAGGGCTTATCAAAGGCACAGGGCAATATTTGCTCAGTGGGTTGATTAAGGCACTGTTCAGGTCGGGCAGGCAGCTCCA